CGTATGCGCTCTAAGCGGTCTGGGTGCTGGATGTGAGTGATTTCCACACAATTCAATGTAAGCCCTGCTAACAATTAACAGCCCGAGCCTCTACCTTTTCAGCATCGACACTCCTCAGCAACACCAGCGCTCCCTCACTAGCATGGAGCAGTTCTGAGGCCTCTCATGCACGATCCGATGCGGCCTCGATTCGAACCCAATCAACATGGCAGGATAACGCAGGCGACGTTCCCTCGATTCACGAAGGTGAGATCGGTAAAGTTGCCGATCGCACATGGCTCGACTCGCCCAATCTCATGCAGTCACCCATCCCTTCATGCGATGTCACCTCTCACCCGTCGCCCCGGCATGTCACACCAACCTCTAAGAAATATCAGTGCCCCATGTGCTTCTTGGACAACAACCCCGTTGGTTTCGGCAGGAAAAGTGATTTCAAGAAGCATCTTTACAACTTCCACGGTGCTGATGTGACTTGGCTTTGCAAGACCAAGGGCTGCCATCTCTCTTTCGCTACTGAGCGGGCCTACAGCACTCACGCCAAGGAGACACACCGTATGGACGCTCTCCCTAACAGCACTGCAAAGACCGAGCTGTGCCCTCAGGTTGTCTTTGGTTGTGGATTTGCTAGCTGCAAGGACCGTGTCTTTGAGGCTTCGTCCAACGACCAGGCTTCATCTAGCCGCGACAAGTACTTTGAGCATATCGCTAAGCACTTTGAGGATGGCTTTGATGTGAACAACTGGGAGTACAAGGTTCAAGTGCACAATCTCATGCGTCAGTCCAAGGTCAAGTCTGTCTTCAAGACTTGCATCTGGCCCAAGGAGAAGAGAATGCAACTCACATGGCGCCCTCGCTCCTCCGGTGATCTCAAGCGTATGCTTGAGGCCCGTCATCTCGGTGAGGATATCTCGACACTTGTGCGTCTTGCTTTCATCCTGGGCACATCGCCTTTCACCAGTCCTACTACACCACCACCAAGCGAAATTGACTTGCAGTTCTCTCTGCCCTTCCGATCTCAATGCTTGATGGACACAGTTGGCCATGCCGATGGTGCTCAATCCACGACGGCCGAGACCAGTGAGACCAACACACCCATGGTCACTGTGACGAAGCAGGCTCCTCAAACACCGGAGGCACCTTCGTTCCCTGCCCGCCGCATCAAGCAGGAGACCCGACCCACGACACCAATGGACGGTCTTCCTGAGCCTATGGTTCACGATGATCTCACTGCTGGCCCTCATCCTGGAACACCGTTCCCCATTCCCAACGAGCATGTCTGGCCAGTGGACGCACCCAAGTTTGCTCCTGACCAGATGAACACCTTTGCTGATGCTTCCATGACCTACATCCTGCCTGGTCAAGAGCTTCCTCAGCAACAATGGGACATGACTGGCATGCAACAGCACTTCCCCCAACAAGACACTGTCATGTCCAACGTCTACATGCCTCCCCAACAACCTGTAGCTGCTCGCCCAGCTACACCTATTCCTTCAAAGCGACCTGGATCTTGGGGCAAGAGACTAAGCCTCGAGAACTTGCGTCCTAAGAAGAAGACAAGCGTGTATGGAAGCCCTGCTTCCGAGCACGAGGCTGTCCCTCCTGTGCCAGCCATGTATGCCGAGATGATTCCCACGTCTATGCCTGCGGGTTACGAACTGCCAATGCGAATGGGCCACCCCCAACAAGGGTACACATCAAACCCTGGCTTTATGCCTCAGGCTCAACAGCAACAGTTCGGCTCACCCACGACATTTTACTTGGATGACGGGGACATGAGACTATAAGGCGTTTTTAATCTCGGAACGGAAAAGCATTCTTTGAGCATCATGATTTCATTTATTCTCTTTTTCTCAAGCTCTGCATTACCATATATCTGTACTAATAATCACCCCTAAAGAGGAGGACGAGGAACATAACGACAGGATACCCATCCTCCACTATCTGACGAACTTTCTCTTGCTGCACATTTCCTTTTTGTCTGTCCTGGATATACCAGGACAACCACATACCTATTTCCTTTTTTTGTCTTTTCTTGAGTGTCATTGTTAGTCATTTGTTTGCTTTGAGATACCACGGTGTTGAAGAAGGATGGAATGAGATGAGACGGGAAACCAAAGTCATGGAACGCTGCATAGGGCACAGAATTGTTTAACTGCAGCATGTTTTTGCTTTCTCTCTGTTGAATATTGCATCTTTCGGGCGGTTTTATGCGTGGATTACTATACCGGGATTGGCAGATACCCTTGTGTGAGGCCAGCAAGCAATTGAGGATATTTGCTCTGGCGGGATACATATGAATAGATAGGGAAGGAAGCATGTCAGCAAGATATATGAATTAATAGAATCTTGGAGAATATCTTTTGTGTCGTTCGCATGAGTGAAGTCTTGGGCTGTATTGACTGGCCACACAACCAAACAATATCTTGCTATCTGTACTTGAGTGTATGGCCGTGCTTGTGCCTCGCTGAAACTCATGTACTGTGTCGATTCGATGTTGCAATCATGCCTTGATGTTAAATCACACCACTGTTAATGGCATGCGTGTCCCGGGATAACTGAACTGAGAATTATGATGGACAGCTGTCCATTTCCATGTAACAGTCTCAACAGATAGGCTCTATACATAAAATTGTGATTAGAACAAAGCGGCTGAAGCAACACTTGATGCCGCTTCCCACAACGGAGCACCCTCGACATGGGAGGCAGATCTCGGCCGTATCTTAGTCCAAGGTGCTTATGGTATAGGACATTCCGCGCGAAATAACGAATGGGAAGTCTGATACAGGCCAGAACTTAATGACCTGGAGTTTGGTGTCAGCCTACATGTTATCTACTCACATATGGTGATCGCCTCCTGAAGTGACTGACAGCATGATGCTCCTCTACGATAGGCAAGAAAACTTGAGACCTCTATCCTAAGGGGTGAAAAGACTTAGGTAAGTTTAGTATAGACTTAGTGGGACTTTAGATGAGTTATGTCCAGTATGCTAGCTTGATGTCAGAAAGTTTCATCGTCCCATGAATCTCCCGAAGTTCCCGTGAAGATGATGGAAGGCCAAAACTGCGCCGATAAAGAAGATGATACCCCCAGAGGAAGAAGTTGAGGTTTAAAAACCCACAGGTATCTTGAGAATAAACTTTGTATGAGAAATGGTGATATACTGGCCGAGTGACAGTTGCCAGGGTCAAGGTATATTAGCGAGGCGGGAGCATTGTGAAAATAACAGGGCAATTAACAGTAAAGTCACAGATCAGTGACAAAGGAAAGAAGTCCCAGTGGATTTCGTCAACCCAAAGTCTTTCTTTTCTTGAGGGGCTGTAAGGTGGCAGAATTACGGTTTTGTTTGTGAGTCACAGCAGGCACAAGGCGTGGCTCAGCAGAGGGACAGCGTTCGTGACCATGAACTCTGGTGATGAATCACAGGCTGTATCTATGGGAAAATAAGAATGTGGTAAAAATGCAGTGCAATATTCTGTGGGAGATGTCGCCTTTCGTTGTGCTGTTCGGACTGGCTGATTGGCATCGCGACCCTTGACGTCCAACGGGTGGTGGTGGGAGCGAGATAAGAAGCCTCTGACGACCCTAGGGGCTGCGATATGAGCAAAAAGCAGTCTACAGATTGGTTAAAAGGTCTGAAAATATACAGAATTCAGATAGAATGAAAGGGAGGTCACGGGTGAATGGTATTCGCAGTACGCCTTGAAGCATCCAAAGTGCGAAGAGCCAAGGTTGAGTGACAGTAGACTCGAGCCTTCGAGCAAAATGCAAAGACGGAGTTCCATGTCAAATGGGATCATTTTGGAGAATTGGTGACCGAGTTACACAGCCGTCGTCGTTGAGGGATGCTGTGGATAGGAACACCAAGGCAAGAGGCCATCCATGCAATGTCGATCACGATGCAGAGACAGGCAGAACGTTTCACAGTCTGCTAGAGGCATGACCTATGGTAGAATAACCCAATAAACAACAAAGTCTGGCATGAAAGCGTGCTGTGTTTGTTCCTGGGACTGAGTTCACGTGAATGGGGTGCCTACTTATACTGGTTCAAAACGCAGCCTTTCACCAGCAAAGCTCAAGCAAAGCAGCTTGGCGCAGTGGAAGCGCGGTATGTTTCTTCTCCACTATATGACTCAACAACAGAGTACTAACATATCCCAGCCGGGCTCATAACCCGGAGGTCACTGGATCGAAACCAGTAGCTGCTATGAAGCATCTCTTTTTTGCACTCTCTTTGTCCAGAGTTTTCGACTGTTGGTTGATGGGCAAAACTAGAGCCGGGCTGTTTTTGGCTGTGAAATCCCCGGTTGGCACCTTTTATTTTTCGAGGACCATGGAGCATAAGCGGAATTCCCGAGCACTTTAATGGGGGCTCCTGACACGGCTGATTCCACGATATGAGTTCTTGATATCTCAAATCGATCTTGTGTGCCGGGTAAGAAGCGAAGTGGATCCCCGGCGCCGGAACAGAAAGCCGGCCCGAAAATGTATGGCGGCCTTGGATCTGTCTGCGACAACTTGTGAATATAACATGAGCTTGGCTACGATTTAGGCGATCTCTTTATTAAAGTGAAACACTGTAGATATAAAGTGATTTACGCTTAGGACTCCCACTATAAGCGCCTTCAAACTTTAATTAAGACTCTGTGGATAGGTGTCGGGTATAAGAACATTGGATCATCTATATGCCAGCTGCTCTATTTTATTATCACCAGCTCTAAGAAACATCTTTAGAGGCCAGGAAAAACAAATATACACTTTCTCTAAGTGAAAATATACCTAATCCCATTTATTAGCATAACCCTATTCCTCAAAGTGTTGGGGAAATCGCGTGACCCAAAATCAGTAAGTGGATCCAAGCGCAGACCTGTGATCTATGTTCTCCAAACTTCAAGCCCTTGCAACTCCATCAAAACGCACCAGATCAACACGAAAACTATTGCAATCGATTCCTCTCGACTTAGAGACTCAAATGAAGATTTAAAATTGGCAAAAAAAGAAACTCCTGCGAGGGGACTCGAACCCCTAACTTTCAGATTAAAAGTCTGACACGCTAACCAATTGCGTCACGCGGGATGCTTGAATTGTTGGAAGACGAGCTGCAAATTGTATTTTATGAGAACCTATTTTTGTCCTGGGACTAAACTTATCCTTGGGTGTGACATCTGACCAAACAAACATTTGAATAGCGGCCAATCAGGCTCATGAAACATGGTCTTGTATTCAGAACTAAACGGGGAGTAACTCTGTTATAAACATAAGGGGTACAAAATTAAACACATTCGCCATGTACTCTAGTACAAAGGGGCAAGCCATGATGCACTCAACGTTACTGCGCATGAGTCACCCGACAACGACATATCACGCAGCTTGAGATGGTTACCGTTGATGCTTGCTTATCTTCGCTTGGCCTTCAAACTGTGCTTGGTGGTACAGCTCAGTGTAATGCGTACGCAAGCCGGGCGATTATTTCGTTGAGACACAGTGTCGCTTACCATGCCGTTTGTCAAACACTTCGGCCCTTCATTGCTCAAGCGACTCAACTTAATTGATTGCCATTCAGCAATTAACTTTATGTTTGGCAAGTACTCCCGAGCTGCGCATCGGTCCATCTCTGAACATTGGCTTGTGTGCAGTGGACAAGGAGTGACACTAATCGCCAAGAGGCAAGCTAAAGCACGTCTGGAACAGTTCTATCGCTGATACCCATTAATAATTTTCTTGAATTCGGCTCTGATCCATTTGATTCCTGCAGAGGCTGAATATAGACTAGATATTGGCATTGCAAAGGCTTGCCTCGGCATATATGTTTATTTCATAGCCTCACTTACCACCTTGATGATAATTCAACCTTTATGCGTACAAGGAACGTCCTCACAGCTGAGGCTACTATAGATAGTTTCCTCATCGGACTTTCTTCCAATGCTTCCCATGAGGGTCCGCTACAAGCGAGCTCAAGCCGTTTGCGTGACGTTTGTCAGGGACTCACAAATATTCAGCCGCAACCACCAAGTGATGATTCTCACCATTGTTTGGAGATGTGTGCTACCAAATACTCTAATGACGACTTAGCAGTGATTGAATCCCGATGATTCATAGCCAATGGCCAGTAACCGTTTGTTACCACCTACTCTACAAACAAGACAACATTGATTCACTCACGACTCTGCCTAGATAATGGTCAACAGTGTTTGTGACCATCTATTGTACAAGCAAAACAACAGTGATTCACTCACGATGTTGCCTTACTCACAGTGACTCTAAGCCCAACGATGTAGCAAACCCATATCGCTTCTCAGGCTATAAATTCCAGCCTTCCCTCCCTCATCTCCTTTCTTCTTTTCTCTCTCATCATCGACCAACATCTTCTCTTCTGTTGATCAACTGTCCTTGAATTGAACTTCGTTGACCATCCTTTCATCACTCAATCTTTCATACCTACCTACTCTACGACCCACCGACATTGTCGACATGGCTTCGCAAGGCTCAAGCTCCGCCCCTCCTAGGGATGTTTATGCCTGTGAGGTGTCTGAAGACTGGGATCCCGTTGCTCTCAGAGCAACACTTCCTCGTGGACTCACTCCATCTCTGAAGGTCAAGAAAGGTGACAATGTCTGGGCCTACCACACCAACCAGGGTTATGGCTACATCCATCTTCCTACTGGAGACACACACCTCAGAGGTAACGTCACCATCTTATTTCTATGTGAACTACTGTTTCTAATTATGTTAGGTTGGGTACCTCTCAGGATTCTGAAGAAGGGCGCAATCCGGGTCGAAGACTTACCCATCGAACTTCCCGCAGAGGTCCGTAATCTGGGACAGAGCGCAGCAAGACCTCAGAGCGATAATTCTGCCAACGTTCTGCACAAGACCCTTCGGTGTCTTTGGCGTAAGATCATTAGCGAACAAGCGCTCATCAAGGAAGTGATTCCCGGCATGAATGAACAGAGCCAGAGCGTGCTCTTCAACAATACCACGAGCGCATACGCCGACGTAGTCTACAAGTGTTAGTCTGAGACTTTGCCTCATTCTAATCCTCCAGCCCTGAGCTAACAGTTCTATCAGGTATCACTCCGCAAGCTCGTAACATGATGGCCACCGGCAATTTCGCTATTGAACAACTGATGTCTTTGCAGCCAGTCTCCAAGTCTTGGCCTAAGGAAGCTGGAGTTTATATCATCATCTATCAAGGCTTTGGTGGCCGCAAGTCTGGAAACGTAACCTATCAAACGGCCATTTACGTCGGACAGACTGTTCAGTTTCAAAAGCGCAAGGATGCACACACCAGAGATGCGGGTACCAAGAACTCCACGCATTACAGCCTTGCCAAAAAGGCCAAGAAGATGGTGATGATACCTCTCCTCTTACAAACAGAGAGCGCTGTTCCTCCGTTTTTCCTTGACATTGCGGAATTCTCGTTCGTATGCCTTTTTCGAAGCTGGTATGCGGCTCTCTTCAAACCGCGCGATCCTGAGCTCCTCGGAGCCTATACTACTGACTACGACGCATGCGTAGTCTTTTCTCGCATTATGCGAGATGTATCTGCCGAGACAGGCTGGAATCTGGCTCGCACCTATGGCTTGAACTGGAATACCCCAGTTCTGAGGCACCCCAAGGTTGACCAGCCATGGGTTTCGTGGTACGAAGAGGAGCTTAAGATGTACAAGTATCGTACCCGGCGTACAATCTTCCTGCAACCAGACAAAGCTCACGTCCGATGGCACGGTAGGAAGGAGCTCGGTATCCCTCTGGAAGTCGCTCAAGATGCCGGTTTTGTGAACGGCCAGTCAGTCCATCTTGTAGTTGAGATCTGCAAAAGTGGCGACGAATATCTCACACACCCTTTCCGCTTTGTCCGTCTCCCGCCCAAGGTAGGTCGCAATACGGAGCTTGAAAAGCTCAGGTCCGTCGCTGTCAAGATCCAGTGGCTCCCTGAGGGGAAGAGGCAATGGAAGGAGTACTATCTTGAAAGATCCAGACTCTGGCAACCAATCAGCAAGACCAACCCCGTTTTGCACATCTACCGCACCGGCCTCATGATACTTTGCGACATGGAAAAGACCAGCTATACCGGAGGTCCAGAATGGTTGCATAACGTCTCGCCAACGGGTATCCAGTTCCTTCGATACAACCATCTGGAGCAGAAGCAAGTAGTTGAGATGGTTCCGCCGCGAGTCATTCCGTGGCCAGAGGACAACACAATGGAAAAGAACAAACAGAGACTGCTTGAACTGTTCCCCCGGGCATCAAACCCCGATACCATTATAGGACCGCGACCTCCGCAGGGATTTTTCACCAAGAACCGCAAGTCGTGCGATATGTGCCTTTCACAACGGACTGTAAGTTCACCAGCTCCTCGCGAGTAACATAAACTAACATATTATATAGACCACTGCCTGCAAGTATGATCCTACTGACGACTCATGCCAGTGTTGTCGACCTCTGAACCGCCCTTGCACGTGGTCTAGAGCAGGGCAAGACGTCATGGATCTATTTGTTCATGGTGAGAGCCTGGAGGAACTTGGTATTGCGGTAAACCTTTCCCGAGACATGGGTTCAATGATCGGTCCAATGGTGGAGCCCCCCTTCGATCCTGATATCGAGGGCATGGAGCATGAAGATCAGCAGGACTGATTGACGAACAGAGTTGGCTGCTGGCTGCTGGCTGCACTCTGAAGAAGCCGACAGTGTCGGACTTGATTACGGGCTTTTGCTTTTCTGAACCTTTTTCTGCACTTGTTGCTTTTTATCGCTATGATTTGGAGGAAAGGATGATGATGAACACGGCAGTCGTGTTGTTTTCTGAATTGTGTCTTTCATTATTGCTATTTTCTACCTGCTTTTAGCACGCAAGACGCTGGAGGACATCACCATGGGATTTTGTCATGGAACTCTTTAATTCTTTACTGTCATTACCGCTTAACTTAATTACCATTTTAGCTTATTCCAATCGTTACCAAGTGTTTAGTTAACTCGGGAATTCCTTTGAGCTGAGTGTATCCAGCCCATTTAATGTTGAGTGACTACCACAGGACGGCAACATTAAGGGCTTTGCTATACGCCTTTCTTATACCTCCTGTATTTAACTTAATGTTAGAAATACGAGAAATCCATTGCTCAAGAACAGTTTCCTCTGCTTAGTGCTTGTTATTGCATCTAACGCCTCGTAGCAAAGTAAAAATGTTCATCATCAGACTCGTATAGATAGGCAGAGGATTGCAACATGCATGTATTTACGTCTGTCAGCTATTGACATGTCAGGCGTTTAATCTATATTAGATAATTTAGTAATATCCAGCTTGACCATATGTGTTGTCTTTGCACAGTTCTGGCCGCCTGGCAAAGAAGTGTATCTCCCAACCTCATGGCCACCTGACGGTTAAAGGGACGCTTTGTCCACTCAAATTACGACAGCTTCGAAGATAATTAAAGAAGTATAAACATGTACCTGTTGACTTCTCTCACAATACCCACCGTTGCAGTTGGCATATGCGTAGCCGAAATGTCCTATATGAGATAAGAAAGAGTCTGTGGCCAAGCCTCTGACACAACTTCGGGCTGGATCTGGCCAATGGGCATATAAGCACGCCCATCGGGTGGCGGTTTGTCTTCTCGGATATATGTTCCTCGCGACTACTGGCGCGCATCGGATGTATTACGGAATGTTATGCAATTCTAACTTTAGATGTTTGCTGGCCAATTGAGCATGAAGTAGACCACGCCTCTTGATGCGAAGCTTCGGTGCGGGTAGATCGACTAACCCGACATGATGCACGTTAACAACTATTGTAGCAAGATACGGATGAGTTGGCAACCATATAAATTTATTTGGGTTAACCAAATATCTCATGGATGACTGCTGCTAATTTCGCAGTATTGTGCCAGTCCGAAGATATTGGTCAAAGAGTTTCACCTTGACTCCAGGTCTTGCGCCATTGAATGCCATCCTAACGTGCTGTAAGCACTCTTGTCAATTTGATGTTGTCATACATCCTATTTTTCTGCAACAACGGGCAGCCTCGCGCCAGTTTTCATAGATGAGTACTTATAGTGAAATAATATCCTTCATCTAGCCTGGAGTGACCCATGTCGATATCCTTCCAACGATGTCTCAATTGATACGCGACACATCCAACCCCAAAGGGCCATGAGAAAGAGACTTAAAAACTAGCACGTGTCAGTTTTCACAGAATGATATTACATGTTCACCAGAATGAGGGCTATGCGCATAGAGAAAATGATGTTGCATTGAATGCTATCATATTGACAGTACAGAAACGCGCAAAAATCTGGTTTATATGGGTCCATTGCAGACCCTTTGCTCAATGGCACACATATATGTACAACTACTAGCCCTGACTTGAGTTTTCCGAGGCAATTCTCATGCGCCTATCGGGACACTTGCCGACTACCTATAAACTACTAATCAATACTCAGTCCCTTGCAATAGCTAGAGGCTTCTCAATACCGAAGAGCCAAAGTCAGATAGTGACTATTGGCAGGGGAAGATCAACAGGACAATGGTGGAGCAGTCATTTATGACAATCGTTCATTCTAATTACTTTGCTCTGTGCCCGCTCTCCTTGGAAGTCATTGCGGAAATTGTTCTGAGTGATGTGATAGTTACTTTCGTGTAAGTCAGGGCAGCTGTTGTCAGTCTGTGGAAGTTTGTAAAAGCATCACAATTGTTACTTGAAACAGGATATGCGAAACCGTAGTATACATATTAGCTATATTGTAGCCCTGCATATTTATTTCACTACAATTTGAGACTTGAGTGACTCTCATGTAAGCTCCTATTGTCACCATAATTATCGACCACTTGCAGGTAACATCAAAAGGCCGCAAATATACCTTCTCCAAGACGAATATGAATGCCAGATATCTTTTAAATACTCATTTGAGCTATCTTACGATCCATATAAAGGATTTGGTCCATATTGCTATTGTTCTGGCTCTCTTTCTCGTTCTTTCCTAATTCGGTCCTGAGCGTTGTTCCTTCCTCAACTGACGACGTTCAACTGACTCTTTCCCTCGCAGGCTGTTCCTTCCCATTCTTACTGCTCCTTCCACAAAATGCGAATTGCATTGACTCCTGAGGTACACCATGGCTTCTGTCCAAGTTCTATCGTTCTTTCGTCCTCAACACCATCATCATCACCACCATCATCACCATCACCATGCCTGCTCGCCTGCCCGACGTTTCCGGTCTTCTTGCCCTCCTGGATAGGTTCCGGACCCCCAAGCGGTCCGGCCTTCCAGGAGGGTCTGCGACTGAAGAAGAGATTGCCTTCGCCGAGAAGGACTCCCCCATCAAGGGGGAACGTATTGCTCCGGGCCCTTGGCCAGAATTCTCCTCCTCCCCCTCCCCCTCCTCCTCTCCTCCCTCTCCTTCTCTTCCTCCTCTCCCTCTCCCCTCCTCTCCTTCCTCCTCCCCTCCCCCTCGCGCTGGAAAGCGCAAGAGGTGGCTTCGCCTCTTCTCCTCCTCTTCCTCTTCATAGAGGGTGTGTCGGTGTCGTGTCGTGGTGGTTTTTTTGGGGGGGCGTTCTTTTTTTGGAGCGAAGATTTTGTGTCTTTGGCTTCGCCTCTCCTTTGATTGCTCCCCCGGGAGCTGTGTCGCAAACCCTTCGCCAAAGACGACTACTTGAGCATGAAGAACGACAAAAGAGCCCATTCAGATCTCCCAGGAATCGCCATAAACTTCTTTCAAGAGACTTCTCCCAGTGCTTCGGTAAGTTGATCTCGTTTTTTGGATGGTGTAAGTCATCAGAATGTAGCTGACACTCTCCTTAGATAGACGAAAGAGCCATTGACTCTCCACGACCATGTCATCATTAGGACAGGGTTAGTACCTGGATGTTAAGCAGACTACCCCAGCTGACCTCCAATAGACAGCTTCGTTCATGACCGAGCGATACTGCGAGAACCAACGCAACTACCCGCGTGTTGCTTCTCAAAATCGGATGCATTGCCCAGCGTTATGCCATTCCTTTCGAATCACGGATTCCCTCCTTCATAGCCACTTCTTCATTTTCTCTTTTACTGCTTCTGCAGTCACAGTAGGCGTCGCCTCACCGCCGAGGTTGCCCGCCTGCTTTCTCTCGTTTCAAGACTGGGAGCAGAGCCAGCATCGATCTCACGGTCGCTTTCGCTTCGCCTCAAATCCAAGACACCGTTGAACTACCGCTTCACACCCCTTGCCGCTTCGTCTTCGCTGCGGCGGTTAACCTCTCGCTCTTCTGGGTACCTGAGGTAGCAGGCTTCGCCTCTCCTTTGATGGTCGCCGTCTCTCACCCTGTTCAAGCACATGCAGGCAGGAGGCTTCGCCTCTCCTTTGATGGTCGCCCTGTTCCAACACATGCTGGAGGCTTCGCCTCTCCTTTGATGACTCCTCTACCACTGCTCTACCCGTCCTTTGGGAAGCAGTTGGCTACATAACGAATAATGGGACGACTTGGCAGCTGTAAAGCATTACAAGGCACGCCACTTTTGAACTATTTCTGTTCTTTCAATCTAGCAAGGGTACGCTTGCCCCAACATTTCATGGACTCTAACTTACCAAGATACCAGTTTCGATTGTAGAGTAAACGCCCGCCCCTGCTCGATTCCTACCTAGAACGAGTACAGTACGACTTCGCGAACTTGTGGGAACAACTTCAAGCCCAATGGCCTTCTTCCTTGTGAGGAGCAAATTGTGGGGGTCAAGAAATTAACATATGGATTTGGCGCCAGTTCTTGTGGGAAGTTCGGTTTCTTTTTAATAAGGTCGCTGTGATGGCTGGACATGTCTGAATAGTTTTACTGCCCATCTTTGGACTTTGTTTAGGTTAAACAAATTCGAGGCGCAGAGATTTGCCATTGGCAACTTCACTCTCCTTCCATTCTTCGGATACCGATGCTCACGCCGCAGGGTGTCAGCAATTGAGCCAGTGAAGTGTCATTTGGGTCAGCATCGTCCTGCTTTTATCAGCTGTGTTCGAGACCAGGTTGAAAAGATATAGAATAGATACATGTATTCAGATTCAAATACCCAAACTGTGGAAGCTAACGATAGGCTGTTGATTACGGTGCTGGTGACCAGGAGTTAATACGCAGTGGGGGGTGATACATTCTGCCTAAGGTAAGGTACTGGACAGTGTGGAATTGGCATACTCCGTACAGGCAAAACAAAAAGCGGACTCAACCGACACGCCGACCAATTAATTATCTTACAGGGAGTTTAGCTGATAAGTTCGCCTCTGGTCTAGGCGACGTGCTCTGTACTCCACCAATGTATTCTGCAGCATCAACCCACGGCAAATGCAATAAGAACTCGTAACTTTCAGATTTCAGTGTTTTGTAAAAGTCTGACACGCTAACCAATTGCGTCACGCGGGATTTGACTGGTTGGAAGAATGCACCCCATAATTTGGATTCTATTCGCAGTTGCGGCAGGTGCGTGCAGCATTGCAGCTTCCTCTTTTGGTCCTTCCACGCTGTCCGCAGATAACACTCTCTTGATTGAGGCTCTAGAGCTTCTGTACTGGCTCTTTACTCGCATTTGTCTTATTCAAGCCACTCTTTTCTCACAGGATCTTGGTATGGTGTAGCATCGGCTTGACGGCCTAGAAGCATGTTGGATAAACGCCAACTCCAATGAGATAACACTGTACACCCTTGCACCATTGACAAGGGCTTGCAGGATCGGACTAGACAAAAGGTCTTTGAATTCTCCCGAGACTACGTGGCCCTCTGAATACTGATCTAACATTCAAACTTTCTCCCGTTGTCGTAATTTAAGTTCTCTAACAATGTCGGGCTATCAGCTTCAGTCACCATGCCGCGTGGAGGACGGCCTACTCATTGCGCAGAGCCAGGTCTCAGCCTTCTTTGAAGAAGCATGGTGGAGATTATCATGGACTAACAGAACTCGCGAATCCTTGATTCAGAGTATCGCAGATCGAAGCCCCAAGAACTTGCTCACCAACAGAGAAATCCGGAGGCATCAAAAGATAGTTCATCTCCAAACCGGAGACATTGTTGGGTACGCACGGTGGATCCTCCCCGAGTCTCACAAAGACGCTTGGCTTGAAGCGCAAACGCCGGATGTAAGCGATGAGCAGAGGGAAGTTTTTGCAAAGCGTCATGCGGAAACCGACTGGAATCCACGTGAGGATAACGATAAATTGGATGATCATATCGACGGTTGGAGAGAGAAGCACAAACAGGCAAGGGACATGGGTAAGAGCCATGAAGAGCCTGTTCCATCGACCTGGTACAAACTGACGCCCAATAGAATTACACTACCTCTGCGTTCATCCAGATCATCAACAAAAAGGACTAGCCAGTTTACTCGTCAACTCAGGTCTCGAAGAAGCCAAGAAGTTAGGCCTTGATGTTATCATCGTGGCCATGGGTCGACGAGCCCTGGGTCTCTACTTGAAGCACGGGTTTGAGCTGCTCGAGGAGAAGAGCCAGAGTATGAGTTACTTCGGGGTTGATAAACTTTATGAGACCTTTTACTTGAGAAAGAAAGCTGAAAAGTGATGGCAGGGAGCTCGCGGACCGTCTTTTAACTACATCTCAACGACTTCTCCTGCTCAAAGAAACCAACAGACGTTCAGTGGCTCGCCCTGTCATTTGTTGGTCCAGCGGGGACTAGTTGAGATTGATACGGCTATTTTTATAAACTAATGCACGTCTTTTCTTGGCACTCGCTGAATACTGTATCTCATATATACATGGCTTGATACTAGTAGACCCAACTCTATGTCTACGTATTCCTATAGCTTGGACTTGATCTTTCCAGCAAGTTCCTTCACCTCACTAGTGAATCGATACACAACATTATCAAAGCTATCCTCGGGAAAAACGTAAAGCCAGCTCAGCTCGTTGTCGCTGCAGAACACTCCATGCTCTGCATCTCCTGGTATCCAAACAAGATTATTCTTGGAAACTGGGTATCTTTCTCCTTCGACTTCAACTTCTCCAGACCCAGATAGAATGTAGTAGAGCTCTGCTTGCTTGTGACGATGCAGTGCTAGAGTTCCTTGAGGAGGACATGTCGCAATGCCTCCAGTAAGTGAAGTAGTTTTTGTTCCTGGTAAAGACAAGAGAGTGTGCCAGGTTGCGTTTCCTCGTTCCTTCTCAGCAAACGAAGATGGCGTATTTTGCGACTGGGCACCAACGTCGATGATCAGCGGCTTATGGGAAGACATGTCAAGGATGGCAGCAACCAGTCAATCGATGCAGCGAAAGAAACAATGAGAAGGTGAGATAATATAAACAATGTTATGCGCAGAGAGGTCCAGGAATTTCAATGGGGAGACAACTTCTTATAGCTCAATGTCTGATACCAAGCCCAACATTGTATCTCAAACTTGAGACAGGGTTGACGACGCCTTACACACATCATCTGACGCAAACAGAAAAACTACACGGTCCGATAACCATAAAGGGTAAACATACACGATCTGTCTGCCGAAAGTCTCCAGAATTATATGTGATAATGATGGACGAGCCACATCATTGAGGGGTTCGCACCAATAAACGTCAACTGAGTTGTTGTGACATATGCACTAGACTCGGAACTGATCTAGGAGATCAAGTCTTGCATTAGCTAATGATTAGGGTTGCGAGATAGTTTTCTTGGCTTGATAAATGTTTATCTTCGCTCGCAGAGATTGGTATTCTCACAAATAGGTTACTGGACGCTGTAGATGGGTGAGTCATCAACTTTGACGAAATGATAAGCTTCCAGATGAGGCTTGGACCTATTAAGTGGTGGCGTAAGTAGTCGAATCGTAAAGTTAAATGAATGAGCCAATGGTTCAACTGCATAGTGTTTATAAAGTAGGAACGTAGGCAGTTGCAAACTGCTGAGATTTGTTTCACGCCCTACACACGACCTTGAAGCTGGCCACAAGATTCTCGAGATGCAGCAACTCCCGATATCTGTCTTGGCCAAAAGAGATATTTCTCAAGTGCAAGATAGCTTAAACCACAAGTATGAGGGGAAGGAATTAGGGAAGAGGTCCTCTTGAGCTTTGATTGTCATGGGACTCGATTTAGTTGATTACCTGGCCAAGCTAACAGCACCACCAGCCCAAATTCTCCAGTCCCAGACCAAAAGCAAAAAACAGAAGTCTCATTTTGAATGGACTGTTCTGGCTTTTGGTTCCTTCAGTTCAAGTCGTCTAATACGGGCAAGGCTTGCGTAGGATTAAATTTCATGACGAAGGGTATCACCATGACTTGGGCATCTGAAAGACGAGTAATCCATCCCCTACTTTTCATACATCTCAAGGGAAATTACATCCCGAAGAGGGCGGCTTAACAAGGTAATACTGTTCTTTCTCGACTATCTGTCACCTGAGGCTCTATGGACTGTCGTCTTGTCCAAGTCAACCAACTCGGTGATATTAATCAGAAGAGATATGCCTCGGAGAGCAACAAAACTTCAGATGCTGGATCTAGGGGTCAAAGTAACTAGGTAGTCGAAGAAACACCTGGGCTTTTCAAAAGCTTATGATTTTCGTCGCTTAGAATCGAGGTCTCAAGTTTTACTTCCCTAAGTTATCGTTGACATGTCCGACTACCAAGGGTTTCTTTCAATGTCTAAAAGCTACACTCTGAAGTCCAAAATACGAGAGAGGAAAAAAAGCAGTCGAGATGTTGATTTGGTGGGATCGACGATATCTTGTTGTTATGAGCCTCATTCAAGATCAAGAGGTTGGAGTTTGTGGGGAAGCTGTAAAATATGGGCCTCGCCATCGCCGAAAACAGGACCAAGAGATGTGCCATCTTCACATGGCAGCAGCGGCCAAGATCCGAAATGAACACCGCCATCAGGAACAATTCACGGCGTTAATAATATTACAATTGACTGAGTTTGGGCTTCTTAAGAGTCATTGAGTAATAGGTAAACCGGACACTGTAAATGTTATCTTAGTCAAGTACAATTCTGGGAATCCCTTCATGCCAGAAACAAGAGGCAAAAATCGGGAGTCAAAATGGCCCCGAATGCACAGATCCATCTCAAGCTAAGGCGGAAAGGGTAGTGGAGGATTAAGGGAGCTGCAGGACCAAGTCCCCCCCGCTCACCTCTTCCCCGACGTCAGAGCACTAATGTCACACACAGCTTACAGGGTCTGAGGATGAGATGGAGATAATGGTAAGCAGATTGTTTCCGTTGCAATGAGTCAATGCCCTCCAACGTCGGCAAATGTCATGGTCTGAGAAACGGTAGATACAACGCCAGAATAGCTGCCATAGTTCAAAACTGAGTCGATTTTGCGTTCCCTTGGTCCAGCTAACGCTGCTAGAGGCCCAGCTAGGCCGTTCTCGCAGCCAATCCAGCCAATCTGAGGGTCTGAGTAGGTGGCGATATCGGCCATTCATCTAGACCCTGATTGGCTTAGCAGGCCACCATCAGGCCTGGACAACTACGATGCCCCTGTAACCGTAATCCCACCTCGATTAGGCTGGGGGAGCATAAGGGTGACAAAATATATCTGACATGGGAGTCCACATTGCAGTACAAATTTGGCCTTCGCGTTTTAGACCTTTTTGACACCACCTAGGGGAGTCACCTATCTTCAACCCCACACTTGACCTTAGCCCCACCCCGGCCACCGGCCCTCCGATGAACAATTGCTGAGGTGCTCGCTGTGATATTTTCCCCCGGGCTCGCCCTCGTTTCTCTGGCCTTTTTTAGCGGGCGAAACTCAAAACACTTTTTTTCTCTTCTCGCCTCCAAACACTCTCGCGATCAGTTTTCTCCCCTGTCCCTCCCCTCCAGGTTTTCAATTGATCGTCGACTCTTGACCTCCAAACATCTTGCGCTTCTTGAGCCTCGTGGCTCCTCTCTAACTGCTCTTCCTCTCACCGAGCTCTTCACCTCCACAATGCTCCGAACTCGCCAGGCCGCAAAGGCCATCCGGGCCGTCGCCAATGCCCGATCTTTCACCACCACATCAGCCGTTGCTTCCGTTCACACTTCAAAGAAGGTCGCCAGTACCAGGAATCAATCTACTGCTGCTGCGTAAGTTGACACTTTTGGTGGCGGTTGTGCGTTGCCCCGCGTCTGGTACCTGACATTGGGGCAAAATTCCCACGCGCGCGCTTTACAAAAAGTAATTGGAGACAACAAATGCTAATACATACAATTGTAGACCTGCACGCGATATCCCTAGCCCAGGGTTTAATGTCGAGAAGAATCAGAACAATGTCCAGCCTCTGGTCAACCCCCGGAAAAACGACATGGATGAGTCGTATGCAACCCTCCAAGCTCAATGTGATGACATATTCTGACAAACGATTGGCAGTTTCATTGGAAAGACTGGTGGTGAAATCTTCCACGAGATGATGCTCCGACATGGCGTGAAACACATCTGTACGTCCGCCGTCTTACATGCCGCAAATAATGCTGATTCAATATAGTTGGATACCCTGGCGGTGCCATTCTCCCCGTTTTCGATGCCATCTACAACTCAAAGCACTTCGATTTTATCCTCCCTCGCCACGAGCAAGGTGCTGGCCACATGGCTGAGGGTTATGCCCGAGCTTCTGGCAAGCCCGGTGTTGTTCTCGTCACATCTGGTCCCGGTGCTACAAATGTCATCACACCTATGCAGGATGCTCTGTCTGACGGTACACCCATGGTTGTCTTCACCGGTCAGGTCGTGACAACTGCCATTGGCAGTGATGCTTTCCAAGAGGCTGATGTTGTCGGTATCTCTCGCGCATGCACCAAGTGGAACGTTATGGTCAAGAACGTTGCCGAACTTCCTCGACGCATCAACGAAGCTTTCGAGATCGCCACCAGCGGTCGCCCCGGTCCCGTCCTCGTCGATCTTCCCAAGGATGTCACTGCCGGTGTCCTACGGAGAGCTATCCCTACCGAGACTGCTCTGCCTTCTCTGCCTAGTGCCGCTTCCCGCGCTGCTATGGATGTGACCAAGAAGCAGCTCGAGGGAGCCCTCCAGCGCGTCGGCAACCTCGTCAACAAGGCCAAGAAGCCCATCATTTATGCTGGTCAGGGTATCATTCTTTCTGAAGGTGGTCCCGAGATCCTCAAGGAGCTCGCTGACAAGTCCTCCATCCCCGTTACCACTACTCTTCAAGGTCTAGGTGCCTACGACGAACTCGACGAGAAGTCCCTGCACATGCTTGGTATGCACGGTTCTGCTTACGCCAACATGGCCATGCAGGAAGCCGATCTTATCATCGCTCTCGGTGCCCGATTCGACGACCGTGTTACTCTAAGCATTGCTAAGTTCGCCCCAGGTGCCAAGGCCGCTGCTGCTGAGGGCCGTGGTGGTATTGTCCACTTTGAGATTATGCCCAAGAACATCAACAAGGTCGTTCAAGCAACTGAGGCCATCGAGGGTGATGTCGCCGCCAACTTGAAGGAACTCCTGCCTCTGGTTGAGTCCAAGACCATGGAGGACCGCAAGGAGTGGTTCAACAAGATCAACGAGTGGAAGGAGAAATGGCCCCTGACCGACTACGAGCGTGCCGAGCGCTCCGGTCTCATCAAGCCCCAGACTCTGATTGAGGAGCTCAGCAACCTTGTTGCGGACCGCAAGGACAAGACCTACATTGCCACTGGTGTCGGTCAACATCAAATGTGGACTGCTCAGCACTTCCGATGGAGACACCCTAGATCCATGATCACCTCTGGTGGTCTTGGCACCATGGGATACGGTCTACCTGCTGCCATTGGTGCCAAGGTTGCCCAGCCTGATGCTCTTGTTATCGACATCGACGGTGACGCTTCCTTCAACATGACCCTGACTGAGCTTTCCACTGCTGCTCAGTTCAACATTGGCGTCAAGGTCATTGTTCTTAACAATGAGGAGCAGGGCATGGTCACACAATGGCAGAACATCTTCTATGAGGATCGATATGCCCATACTCACCAGAGCAACCCCGACTTCATCAAGCTCGCCGAGGCCATGCGCGTCCAAAACCGACGTGTCTCTAAACCCGAGGACGTTGTCGATGCCCTGAAGTGGCTTATCAACACTGACGGCCCTGCTCTGCTGGAGGTCGTCACCGACAAGAAGGTCCCTGTCCTGCCCATGGTGCCCGTCGGTTCCGGTCTACATGAGTTCCTCGTCTTTGACGGAGGTAAGTTACACGCTCTCACAAAGTACAAGCAAATGCTGACCCCTATTTTAGCCAAGGACAAGAAGAGACGTGAGCTGATGAGAGAGCGTACCTGCGGTCTGCACGGCTAAGCTTGAACCCCAGCTTAACTACGAACCGCAACCAATCTGATACCATCTATTCCATCGTGTCCTTTTTCTTAACTTTCTTGATTCCATCTACTTGCGGAGTTTTATGTTTACTGGGTTTTGCCGGCGGGCAAAAGTACCTTTTGGGGTCTACGACGATCAGCGCCTGAGAGACCAACAAAAAAGCTGGAGGCTGGATTGCATTGAGTGTGAGAGGAGGGACTTGTTCGTGTGTAGGATCAATGTGCACATGATGCGCGCGAGGACGCGTGAAAAATTGAGGATGACGAGTTACGCCGAGGGCGTTTTTATATACCACCACATAATGAATGTCGTTGTGATGATACCTGAGCTACTGCGCCTTAGACCTTGTGTGTTTTTGTTGAATGTGTGACGCTTCTTGTGGAGGCTATCGATCGTCACGTCTTTTGACAGCTCGAACAGAACGGTTGTCGAATATACTCGGCTCCCAATGGGGAGGGAAAGGTTGACGGATGTGGCAAAAAGCACGGCTCCTCTCCTGAAGCCTTATTGAAGAGCACAACTTTTGAGCACCTTATGATCCCACTCCAACCGCACTTGGATTACACAAGAACTATAGGCAATTGTAAACTAGATGCCCGATAATGGATGTATAAAGAAGAGATGTCGCGCGTCAACACATTGTCATGTGTTTGCTTGTCCTCAATTACCAAGCCCGGCGTTTGGAAGCTGACGGCCCCGACTACTCAGCATGGCAGCTTCATATTCGTTGCGATTATTTAGACGAGCAATTCTCTTGTCCTCTTACGCGCGTAAATGGTCAGATCGGTGAATTATAATTGAAGATCCGCTTTGGTGGTGATGAACTTCAATCTGAGTCGAGCTTGTGAGGGCGGGGGCTGCGATTGGAGACAACGTTGAAGCTTGCCGTCCACTTCTGAGACTGGGTTCAGAGCATGTATTCTCTACCGAGAATTAGAATCATCATTTTCATTACAAAACATGTTTGTATTTCTTAAAGTCGCCTCAATAGATGCCTGCATTGTGAGTGAGTGTTTCTGTAGAACTTTGTAGGAGATGCCCTCAGCCAACAGACTTGGCTCAAGTTTAAACTAAAACTTAAATTGACCCATTCACATAGGCTGTGGTAAAATAAACTCTGATGAACGAAGATCACGAAATGTTGTCTTGAGGAGTGGATCCACTCAAATGAAGGCATATGTTCATGCCTTTCCAGCCCACTGCTTCTTCCTCTCTCCCCTCATCCAATGTCGCGAAGGGCCGCACAGAATGAGCAGGCGTAGAGGACTGAGACTACTCGATCAGCCCAGTGACGGTGGGCGACGTTGAAGGAATATTGCAGCTAACCAGCACCATTCAACAGACTTATAGACCGAGAGGTTGAATGGGCAGTGTAAGTCTCCTAGTTCTACAACTCTTCGCTGAAAGCACGTCACTCATCAAAATTTCACGCAACAGATTCAAGAGCGATGCCAAACTGGCACTGGGGGAATATTTAGTACACAGACAATGATGGACAGTCTTCAATGCAGTTTCACCAAACACATTTGGACATTCTACGGAATTAACTGAGCCTGGATATGGCGGCATACATTGGATACAACGTTCACGATTGAAGTGGACTTCGCACTACATCTCCGGGGAAATGTCTCAGCTGGGTTACATCCAGAGGGGGGAAGAGCCGGAAAGCCCCTATGTCACCAAATGAGCAGGCTATTTAGCCAGTCACCATTGTCGGCATATATGGCTGTCGTGATCAACCGATGCCGACGGGACAACCTGAATTGTTCTTGCCCATAGATAGGTACGGTAGCAGCCATTGAATGGACTGTCCGTCGATCAAGGGCGTGTGAGACGGTGATGATCATCGACCGAGGTCAACAATCTGGGTCTCAAGGGGATACATGAAGGGAAAATACATGAAGCGATAGCGCTGAGCGCAAAGGAACAAAAGTACAAGAAGGGAAAATACATGAGAACGCCGAGGGTACAAGACTGTGGTGAACAAGACACGATGACGCTGAATGAAAAGACAGTACAAGAAGGGCAAGTACATGAGAGCGCTGGGAGCACAAGACTGGGCTAGACATATGAGTGATGATGAAGAAGAAAAGAAGAAGAGAAGACCCGGGGACTGAGGGGACGAAGTTTTATGGTCGGTCACGAAGACGTCGAGAAGGAAGGAGCGTGGGTGGGCAGGTTGGCGGATGTGCTGGCCCAGGGGGAAAGGATCGAGGCTGTCTCCTTCCCGTCACGACCGCAGGGAGCCTGGGCAGTGAGGCACCAAGCATTTGCAGCTGTTGAAGACGGCGAGGCGAGAGGCAATTGTCTGGCCCCTGAAGAGACAGGATAAGTGGTGATATTAAATTAAGACACTATCAATAACTACTAAACGTGCTTGGTTCGCGACATAAGCCGGCCACTTCCAACGACCTGGGTGCGATTGAAGTACACTACTACTAGGGACCAACATAACATTGACTATCCTGTCAAAAAGAGCCAGATATGGTTGTAACTAAGAGATAGCAGAAGATCTCACGAGTAGACAAGCCGATACAAGCAACTCGAGTGTCTTTGCAACACCAATTGGGACCCAAGGTGGAGGGCACTGAGACGGACCCCAGGGACTTATCTAGGGAGAAACACCACCATAACTGATACGGAAAGAGAGAGACCTTTTCCATTACACTAGTCTGAAGAGCCTCACTTGGAGATTACCTATGCACACATGCCCGTGGGCTCCCGTACACAGTGTTCATCATCGGATGCCTCCCCAGGATTGCATTACAACTTCACACCCTGTATCTGAGCGCATCAAAAGACACAGGTGACGACACAAGTACAAGTCCATCATTCCCATATTTGACTACCCATAATTTGGGCTTTAGCCTATGGATCATTGGGTCCCTTCGTGTGACTCGTATGTCAAACAGTAGGTCACGTCTGCAGACTGTAGTCTAAGACAACACATTGTTCAATTTGATACGTGATATGTGAGCATTAGAGTAGCCACTCAAAGTGAGAAACTACCTCAAGAAAGACAGGCTCCTACACAACTCCCCATATAGAGCTCAAACTGCAAGATAAACCCCCCACCCCCCTCCAACGTGATATCTACCTCACCAAGGCATCAGCAGACCGGCTCCAGTCAGCAACCCGACCATCAATGCAACCCCTGGGACAACCCCTCCGACCTTTGACAGAGTCGAGGCAGCATTATCGTTGTCTTTAGCCTTCCCATCCTTATCATCATCAGCATCATCCTTGGACCCATTCTTAGCAGCCTTGACATCTTCAGACTTGTAGATCATCTCAATCGCAGGAAACTGTCTAGCAATAACCATAGAAGCAACAAGACTAGGATCACTCCACTGCTCAGTCAACGCAACCGTCTCCGTAGTATATGTTATAGAGGGAAGGAGAGAGATAAGCCCGTCTGTATCAGAAACACGTTCACCCTCGACGGTGTGGACAGTGACAAAGGCGCTCTCGGGAAATCCCTCATAACAAGCGCTGTTGTAGCCGGCTGAAAGAGCAGGGGCAATGGAGGATCTGCAATATCCGTAGGGGAGAGAGTCCCAGCCGCTGCGAGCGATGGAGTTAGTGTACAGTAGAGCAGGCTGTATAAGAGGGCTACATACCTTGGGCAGCACCACGCTAGAGTCTCGGAAGGCTCCAAGACTTTGAGCCACCATTCATCGGAACCCATCTGAAGGGGCTGCGATGAGTTCACGGTCGCCGTGGTGGTAAAAACACCACTCCTAAACGCGGAGCCAGTCTTATCACTGTGTGCAAGTAGTCCAGCGGTAGTCCAACCTTCAGGACAGTGAATACCAGGAGAGTGAAATGGGTGGATGCCCTGTCCAGACTTTGGATGACTGTATTCTTTGATGAAGGAATCTATGGCAGCCCCAGAGGGAAGACATTTTCCATAAGGGTCAATCTCACAGTCAGGAGAACCAAATCCGTATATCAAGGAGCTCTCGAGAGCATAGACGAGATGGTCTGTTGTTGCCCTGGTGCATGCTGGAGGAGGCGTGTAAGTCGTAGTGAGAGGACCAATATTGGTGACAGATATGCCAAAGTATTCTGTAGCAGTAGGCATGTTGACTGAAGAATGATCTGGTAGTACTTTAATAAGGTAAAGTTGTCGTGATTGATGGTATTTCATGCATCGGTGATATCCTGGAGTTTATATACAGTTTGATCATGAATATACCCGGAGAACTATCAGCTGCCTCCTCGCCTACGGGTAAACGGGACGAGCTTCCAGACAGCTGGTGTGATTTTGAGGCTTAGGCATTGCGTAGCACATCATATTTGGAACCAACAGTTTTGCAGAGTGCTCTCTGTGGCTTCAAGACCCGGCCAGTCCCCATCTGAGCTTGGTGTAAGGCACAGCATGCATACCCTTGCATGAATGCTAGGCCAAGACTCTAGAATATTTCGGGGAGGGAGCCAAATGTGATAAATTATACGAAATATGTGTTGATTGAACAATATAATGATCCATTAATCGTTGATAGTAATTTGTTTTGTGATTGCTTTGCCGGTTTGTGTCCCTGCATATCAACTTCATCTCATCTGCTAAACCGGGATTCCTATACCTGCACCCCTTCAAAGATTTCAATACCTTCTCTTTTCCAGCACGACTAGGTAATAGCAATAGTAGTGTTATCACGCATCGTCTTCTGCCAGAAGCACAGACAACTCATAAGTGCCATGATCTTCCACTGCATGCCCAGTTCACTCGTGGCACCACTACCAACAAGTTGAAAAGTTCCAATCTTGTGCATGCTTTTCCAATCACCGCTTCCAGCCCACACAGCCACAACTTCGTGACCGTCGTTTGTAATTCCATTCCCCCGATCTGGTTCATCGTTGGGGTTGCCGTCATTAGGCTCCTCGGCTCCGTGACCCAGCCGGACAAGCTTCCAGCCGTATCTTGATTCTCCAACGCTTTTGACTTCACTGCCGTGAGAGCGCCTCCATTCGAATCTTTCGACATGTCGGTCTGCGCCTCGACCGACTTGCATGCCGAACCAGTATCGGTCCTTCATTGTGTTCTTGCGCCGAAGGATCTCTCTGCCTGATGATTCGTATTCAGGAACAGAGGGGAGGAGGATGCCGTAGTCGACTCGCCATTTGCCTTCAGGCTCAGCACCGGCGAGGATAGGAGAATCTGAGCTGGGGCCGTCGTGTAAGAGCATCTGTCCGTACCAGCCAGCAGGAAGGCTGATGGAATAGAGAGGCTCTCTGTCGGGCTCTCCTAGGTGAACAAGGATCTTAGATGAGAAGCCCTTCTTGTATGAGGCGCGGAGTACGTGGGGAATGCCTCGTTGGGCCGAGTGAGGCGACATTTCGGGTACTATTTTGGAGTCGGAGTGTCCCATTGTAGCGATTTGAGGAAGGTAATTGCAAGATCTCTGGTGTTGCTGATCATCGTTTGACGGGAGGAGCTTGAACTTATACGTTTGCCTACGTGTGAGGCTGATAGCTTGTATCTGCCTTATGCTGGAAAATATCAGCTAAAGATGAAACTGGAGCAAAGTTCAATCGACAAAGCGCTCCATTGCACCAGAAACGGTATAGTGACGATGACCTCAATACAAAACCACAGGGGTGTGCTGACTGTGCCGCAGGGGAGCAAGCTGATAGAGAGGCATAATTGGTTGTAGTGCGCATAAGCTTGGTCGAAGACTCCGTGCAATGGGGCTGAGCTGACATGGGCCACCAAAAAATGGCCAGCCTACAAGTGGAATTCAGAATGCCTTCATATAGGCGAATATGCTGCATGGCATGAGCCCGATGGTGATCAGTTTAATGTCAAGTATCAATATTTACACAAAGAATCTCAACAAACATTGCGCTACACTGTGGCAATTAATGGTGTGTGCTGACCCGTGACCGGCCTCGATAGCGGGAGGACAGACACAACATGTAAATAATACTATGGTTAAGTGATGTGCGTTTGTAGTCCAAGAAAAGTCGATAAATTTTAACAAGATAGTCATCAAAGGAAGTAACTGTAGACGTGCAGCTTAGAATTGAATCTTGATTCGTTGTAGAAGGTGACATTATAAAGGACAGGCTATTCTCCCTCCCCCTAATCCAACTTGGCATCTTTCAAAGACTGCAGTTTGAAGACATGACTCCCTGTTAAACTCTTTGCTTCCATCTCTGCGTATTCTGAAGGACTCTCGACATCCCAAGTTCAAATAAGACAACAGAAAATGGACTTCAGACAGAATACCATATACCTCCACGATGTCCTCAGTCCCTCAACTAGTAACTCCCCTCAAAACACCAAACCCTATGGCATCAAACTTGAACACAAACATGCTGGCGGTCAGCCAAGACTCTCTAGGTCTAGCCACAACAGTTGCTGGTGATCCTATAGTTGCAAGTGGGGAGACTGGACTTGGCTTGTTGCGGTTGAGGGACGTGAGACAGCTATAAAGGGAATTGCAAGCCGAGAGAATAAACTCCAGAACGTAAGTAAAGAGCAATAAGCTAGATGTGAGAGAGCTATCTCCCAGATCCATCTATCGGGAACCAGGCTATCAGAGATATGTCATTTGCAGCTGAGCATGTTGTGCCTGAAAGCGGGTAATCAAGTCTTCAGATAGACGCTCATTTAGGGATAGTGATTAAGAGCGGGAGGTACAGATATTGAGACCCGGAGAGGCTGTAAGAGACAATCTATTTCGCTTGTTGGTTTGGGAGGGTCCTTGGCAAGTTTTCCGAGTGCCTCTGGATGAAGAGTGGGCAGTGAGACAAGTCGGAGAGTAGTGGTGAGATTCGCTCCGCCAAGACTGACGGGGTTCTCTAAGGATGCCTCGACGGGATATATCACCTGTGTGTGCATCGAAGTACTGTGATGTGTTGCAAGTTGACATGTTGACTGCCGAAAGGCATCTCATGTGACTTGCCATTGCTCCTATAACGAGGGTATGTGTCCACTCCTGGAGCGCTTTTTTGAAGTGTTATCGAGAGTTGGATATGGCTGATAACTGGAACCCATTACGTGTGTTGCCTCGTGTTCTCTACCAATGTGTTAGCTGAGGGCACATTACCCCTGAGAGTTGGAAGGCATACCTTGAGAGAAGAGATATGGAAGCAAGACAAAGAGGAGGATTAATAGTCATCAGGCTGTCAAAATAATGTGCTTATGATGCTCGGCCACTGTATGCTGCTGTACTTGGCGACAGCCTTGGAGTAAGTTCTGTGTGGTGATATAAGGCGGGCTTCCTGGACTTGGTGGGTTGACGGGAAGAATGTCTTTGCACACGATGTTGATGCAACATGATGGACAATCAGAGTGAAAGAGAACTTGAGACCTTCCCCCATGTGAGTGTCCCGGCGACTAGTCTAGCGACACCGTTAGTTATGAATAAAACGATGTACATGAGAAGATTCTTACCTTGAGCCCCGTCTGGGCTTCGAGTGGGCGGGCAGGGCATAAAGTAGGCGTAATGATATCTGTAGACGCCCTGCCCACCCGCCACTCGCGGATTACCAACGAGTGGCACCAAGAAAATTCAGCTAGAACTTGCTCCCAGAACCAAAACGACGTACATCCATTCGCTTCGTCCTTGCTGGAGAAGTCAGCCAGGTTGGCGGCACCAAGCACAACATCAAGAACTTACCGAATTGCTCACAAGGACGAGCAGAGTGCACCGATGGCCACTAGAAATGTTATTGGCTATTGAGGAGTCAGTGTGCTCACGTCGGGGTCAAAGAAGACTGAAGGTTGACTTTACCTGTGTTGCGGCCATCGGTTCACCATTTGGGGGCCGTCCAGCATCAGGCTTAAATTTGCTGGTTGTTTGATGATTTGTGGAGGCCCGATACTGGACGGCTAGGCCTTGTTGATGGATGAAAGGCTTGTTGGGATAGAAAAGGGGGATGACAATTTGTGGTGGTTGTTGTGAGGAAGAAGAAAAGAGGGAAGGGAAGAATGGCGGGTGGGCTTTTATAGGATGAAAACCTAGAAAGTAAGGCAACACATGAAGCACTAAAGCCTCTGGGGTTCAGGGGATTAACCACTGAACCGCTTGATCGGGTGTATCGCTCTCTCTAGATGCCACTGTCACTCCTTTGTTTTTCGTTTGATACTGGTTTGTTACAGACATACCACGATGTCTTTTGTTTTTAGGACCCCAAATATTCATTTAGTATTGGCAAGCAACTTGTAGATCCGCCTCCCCAGTTTGCATAGTCTTGTGCATCCCCCGCTTGGTCTTCTGTTGCTTGCTCCCGACCGTCTTTGAATTTCCCATAGACAAAAGCACGCCTTACAGGTCAAAAAACCCAGTCTCCACTCATATGACGGCGTGGATGCATTCAGTGTCCTTACGGAACCAAAGGCCTGGAAATTCGGTCACGGATCTCCGTGTTGCCTACCCAGAACTCAACCCTCAGTAACGCAAAGGCCAGACCTGAGAGTGTCCCGAAGAACATCTACTTTTCAAACCGCTGCCTCTCATACTAACGAACTGGATATCCAGATCGCCAGTCATCTTGTACCACAGTCCCTCCCTGAAACCCGCCCCAAGCCTCGACCGCCCCAAGCCTCGAAGGCGAAAGCTGCCCTTACTGTTCAGCCACGAGACGACTCCTAAAGAGCAGAGGACAGATGTGACAAAAAGTTCGAAGGCATTCGCCATCAGGAAGCCATTACTGAAATCCCTCTCCCTGTAGCAAGATCTGGCCTGGCCCAGAAGTCCCGCCAAACGACAACGACGCAACTCCAAGCTCAACCTGGGAGCCTCCAAGACAGCGCTCAAGAAGGCACGTTCAAAGCACTATACTAGCAGTTAATTACTTCCTTCTACCTTGATTTTCGTGAAAGGGTGCACTTGCTTCGTATCGGGGCTCGATCCTTGCATAGAGCGCACAAAACCAGGGGCTGCCAGAAGAATCATTACGGGCACCTGCTACCCGCCAGAGCTCCCAGATACAAGAGAAAAATAGCCTTGCCAGTGGGTAGTGGAAACTTCCACGCTTTACACTGCATGACCCCTATTCCACCTCCCAGGCCGTAATCGACAATCGAACTGGACGGTAGACCCAGAGCGTCAAGGTTAAGCAACCCAACCTGGCATTGACGTAGGTTTCGAGGTGAGTGATAGAGCGTTGGCCAACCTGTTGGTTCTTTTGAGTTCAAAGCCTGAAATGTTCAAAAGCTAATCATACTCAATAATAGATTCCCTGCTTGGGTCCCGACTATCGAGACAACGGCCGCCTTTTATCTCGAGCGTATTCCTATGTTAAACTTAAACAAGCCGTATCGCCTTGACCTCTCAAGTTTGAAGAAGACCACATCAACCAAGCCTCTGAGTGTGCGATACGAAGGTTACGACCTGAAGGGACCCCTTTGTTCTCCCCTTTGGGTATATCAAACGACCACCAGCAACTTGCCGGCCGCTGGCACAACTCCCATCATATCATCTTGGCGATAGCCCTTCTATTTGTTATTGTTGCTGTCTGTAGAGTTCGGACATTCAATGCTGGAAACCATGGCGAATTCTTTGTTGGGCGAAGCTAGTCAGGAGTCATGTTGCTTCGCAAGTCGAGCTTGTATTGCTGTCCCACGACAAATCACTTTGTCCCCCATGAGCAAAGGCTTTGTGTGTGCAACGATATCTCACACAGCACCAAAGAGCTCTTTGATGCACAGTGTGCTTGGATATCCGTCACATCTTCACCGGGGAATTACAGGTGCAGCTGTGCCTTTTGATGTGGTTCGTTGACTTCCATAGAGCGAATCGGCCGATCTGCCAGGACATCTACCACGAGTAACGAAACCCCCATCATCCAATCCCATAAGAACGATTTGGGCCCCTGAGGTCACTCAAGCATCTAGTAGCACAGAATCCTTCCTAAAACTGTCAAGTTACTCCGATCAGACGGCTTGAAAGAAGACGAAGCTTATTTGACGAGTTCAAATGCACGATCAGGGAGCCCAGCTTCAATAAGGACCAACGCAATTCACGATATCTTCAATTATGACCAATAGGTCTACAGAGTTTGTTAGCTCGGCTACGAGGAACTATTGGCCGAAGTAAGAGAGCGGCAGGAATCACTTGCTGTGTACTGGCCAGATATCCATTGGTTCGTGATAGCGGGGCGATCCCAGCAACGGATGCGATGATATTTCGAGCGGCTGTGTATCAAGACAAAGACTGAAAGTTTATGGACAGCTTCTTCAGTCCATGCTCTCAAATTCCACACATTAGGTATGCGCTTCCCTTGTTCGAGGAGGCCTAGTTTCACTGCTTGGGAAGCCCGTTTGGACCTGTGGCTTGGGTCGATCCGTTCCGGCGAGACATTAAGGGTTCTCATCATCTATACAGACGAGACGTAACTCATTTTCGTCAATCTTGAGTGATCAACTGGATGCCCATTTTGGTTTGGACAGGCTAATGACTTGAAGTGCATGAGCCAATCTGGATCTTCGCCCAGCTCAGGGGTTGGGGTCAGGGCAGGATGGCAAAAAGATATAGAAATTGATCGAGTCGTGCTGACTTGATTCGCTGGCTACAGAGGTCGAAACTTAGTCAAGAGTAGTAGCTTTCCCAGAACCTTCATCGAATTCAAGCAATACTTGGACTAAGAGTGCAGCAAGATATTTTCCCCTGTCACGGGATCCTATCAAAGGTACTCTGACACGGCCAAAGCCAGGGGTATCATAGCCAGGACAAGACCAGGTACCAATCCCGCCGCAGCGTTGCCCGGAGCAGCTGTAGTGGCCGATGGTGCATCACTGGCTGTTGCGGAACCACTTGTCTCGGCAGTAGCAGCAGCTGTGCTAGTTTGTGTTGATGTACTCTCGTCTTTCAACGCCTTCTCGTACCGCTCAACGACAAAATCGACCACCTCTTTACCGTACTTCTCAAAGTAACTACCATGGGTCTCGTTGTTCTTACCCACGTCACAGTATACATCGCCTGTGTCACAGTACGAGCGGATGATGTCACTGTAGTTGTCCTCGCACAACTTTGTCTCGTTGCTGGGACGTTCGAAGATCTGTAATCACGCGTTAGAGTTGAGATTCGTTTCACGACATGCCTTGTATACTCACTCCGTCGTTTTTACTAGTGCCCCTGTCGTACGTCAAGTTTGCCACGTGGCTTGGGTCGCCGAACGCGATGACCGCAACAACTGCTTCATTTAGTTTCTGTGTCTGCAATAGATGGCTGCAGGGATGCTCACCGCTGTCTTTGACGAGACTCATGGTCAAGGGCTTGTTGTCGCTTCCCCCGCAGAATACATCAGTTGCAACTTGTCCACCCTGACTTCTCGTTAGTAGTGCGTCTTGCATCGTTCAAGGTCAACCAACCTGAGAGTAGCCAAATACGGCAATTTTACCGTTGGGGCATGAGCTGTGATAGTCATCGAGGGCTGCAGACAGGGCCTTGACTCCGGCTTCCTCGGAATCGAAGTAGTCGGGATCCTGGAGAGTTGCGGGATAGTCAAGAGGGCTGACAATTGAGCCATTGACGCGTTTGCTAACATCCTCTGCGATCTCACCGATTCTTCCAGATCCCTTGTCCTCACCAGTGCCCCGTACAGCAATCATGTACAATCCATCCGCGCATTCCGTTTTCTCCCCTTTGTTTTGACTGAGAGCCGTGGCCGCAAAAACGGCAGCAGAGAGAGCGAAGGGACGCATAGTGGCGATGAAGGGTTAAAGTTTGAAGAAAGTTGGGAGTCAGAGCTGTAAGAAATAGGTCAGTCAATTTGCGGACAGGTCCGGTGATTGGGGGTATTTATCTCATCTCCCAGAGGAACCAGCCTCTTCCAGATCGACCAGGTTTACCGCGTGAATATTCGTTTTTGGATCGGGAGCTTCCAATGGCGGTTTAGTTCGTAATAAAACGATGGAGAATCCTTGTAACCCCGCAGGTTGTGATCCGAGGTTTGTCTTAGCTTTGGTAGGGGGCTAGTGAATGATTTCCCTTGTGAGAGATGAAAAAATAAAGAATGACAGTACTTGTTGCTTGCTAATGGATTATAAAAATGAAGAAGATGGTGGTGGTAGTGAATTGCTGCTTTGTTTACCTGCGATAGGTCAGAAATAAAAGTTCATAACGACACTCTCCAATCATGCTGCACTCGACCAACCCAAGCTGACTAAATGGACCATGCCTAATTAAATCCGATAGCATAAATGTAGCGAAGGAAGAAGATAACTGCGCAAACAAAAAGAAAAATCTTGAGGATCTTCATCTTTGCACTTGAAGAAGCATATGTATCTGTATCACTTGGTGGTGTTGAACGTTACACACTTTCATTGCTTCTACTATCCAATGTACTAGGTACCCTAAAGTTGTCTCTGTAGCACAATAGCCTACAGGCTACAGGCACTCCACTCAGATATGCACTTCTAGAACAGTCACTTTGCAGGTTTTTGTACGCCGAGACACAACACAAAGATTGTACAAGAATTACATCTGAAACATGAGATTGAATTTGATTTGCACACGTCAGAATATGAAGATTCACCTCAAGTTCTCGTTACACCGTTTTTTTTATGCCACAACTGCTACTGAAAAAGCCATCTTGGTGAAGTGAAACAAGTTACTCCCGTCTACTCTCTAAAGAATGGAAGTTTTGAAGATTTTCCCAACGTTTTCGTCTAAGGTAGCACCTAGACAGAAGGCTTTAAGATAATAGCAGAAGCTACCAATAGGGCAAGGCTTTCATTTAAGGACAATTCAAGATAAAGTATCCTTGAGTTGGCCTGTGGACTAGGGGGAGTTCATTAATACAAAATTAGCGGCAAATATGTCTGTGGTTTTGAAAAGAGAAGACCGAGAACCATGAGACTTTAGTACCCTTCGCATGAGTTCCCTGGTGCTTTACAAAGTTGCTAGCTGCGAGTTATCCATTGAATGAAGCATCGAGAGAGGTGCTGCACAGTGCACTTGCATCGGTCGTGTGATACGTCAAGTCCGTTAATGAACCCCTGAATCAAAAGTTGGAAGACTATCAGAAACAGGTTACTCCGTCAGGGGGGTCGTAGTGTTATTTCGATGATTGTAAGGACTAGTAAAATCAAACACGTTCTTTGATCATTGGAGGATTGTTGTGTGACTGGTGAGCCCGAGGTAACGTAAGCATAAGTTACTGGGACGCCTCAGCTACGACGTGTTTAAAAGACGAAAGCCTGGTATCTGCAAGTTCTCTTACGACATTCAACCATCAAGATAACTTGGCTGACCATGATACAGCTTACCTCGACCACCACCGAGCCATTAAACCGATTTCCGCAAGAACGGGTCCCCGGAGCCAATCTCAGGAGCAGCACGCACTGAGAACGCAATTAACATATGACGGGCTACAAAACAATAGAAGAACAAGACAAGCTCACTCCCAATCGCTTTCAACTCGCCTAGAAGTTATGTCGAGAGAGAGAGCGGAAGTCGTTTGGGCACAACGTTCCCGGAAAGTTACCCGGCTGGGAAAAACCAAAACGCCCAAGGCTTTCGACGGCCTCCAGATCCCAGTAGCTATCAGAGGGAACAAGACTCATCGAGACACAGAAGCAGAGACGGCGAAGTGTTTCAAGGGCTAATGGCACCAGGGGCAAGCATAGAGGCCATACTGCTATCTGCGGTTAAAGATTCAGGGGTAGAACGTAAGGGACAAGGGATCAATGCAAGCTTTTCTTGAAAGACTGGTTCCTAATTACACAAATAGCATCCTATCCTATGATGTATTCCGTATAACTTGCTGCGCCTTCGTATGGTAGGTTGCGCTGTACTTGTTCCCCGCCTTTATCTGTCCTGTCCTCCTAAGTCTGACCCTTCAACCTCGCTTCAACACAGCCACCAGGAACGCCTGGAGCACGCCAAGTCTTGACCAATTCGAGCCCAGCAGCGTCAAACATCTTCTGAAACCCTGCTTCAGTACGTTCTTTTCCGCCCATCGTCATAACAGCCTGATCAAGAACAGCGGAGGCAAAATCAGCTTCTCCTACACGAGGAGCCAGGACCATTTCGCAAATGAGAACTCGAGAGTAAGGCTTCATGGCTTCGGCGAGGCGAGTCAGGATCTGTATTCCAACCGCATCTGCGTAGTCGTGGAGGATCATGCGCATAAAGTAAGCTTTAGCCCCTGAATTGGTATTAGTCGTGGTTCTTGTGGGTTGGCGGGAGTAGCGTACCTTTTACGGGCTGCTCCTTCATAAAGTCATGCTCAACAAGTTGAACGCCGTCAGGGAGAGTCTTCTTCGATTTCGCAAGCTGTATGACTTCCGGTCGTTCCTGAAGCATGCAATTCTTAGGCGACAGGTCAGGATGAGCTTCGAGGATCTTGTTAAGGACCGTTCCTTCACCACCGCCAACGTCCACAAGCTCTATGGTGGCGTTGTCCGTATCTGAGGAGTCGTTCTTGAGGGTGCTGAAATCAAAGTGACCAGTAACAGGAATTGCAACATCAATGCCGGCCATGCCTGTCTGGAAAGTTTGAAATCTCTCAGGGTTCTGCATCATGATGCTCCATACTGGCGTTCCCTCTTGCTTCCAGTAAGCAGTATACGGGTTATATAGGGGGTCTTGAGGCTCTTCGTATTTTCCTTTCGAAAGAAGATAGTCGTCGAAGTTGTGCATATGTTTGAACCATTCATCGTACCTGCGAGACGTTAGATAAGCCTTAACGCCACTCAGCTCTTGAACTTACATTGCCAGGAACAAGTGGCCTGGCGCAGGCTTATCGAGGATGTAAGCCAATGAGAATTTGGTGTGCTTATACTCGCCGCCATCGGGTTCTGTTTGGTCAAGGAAACCGGAAGCAACTGCAAGAGGATGTAAGACCATGCTGACCGACGCTCTTGGCAAGGGGACTGACCTAACACGCGCCCCATCCGCTCTAAGGTGATTGGGATTTCAGCTATGACTCTACCAGCCAATAGTGACAAGGATCCCTACCTAGAAGCGAGTCTTGAACGCCAGTGGCCTGAGAGAGATCTTGAAGAGATATGGAGCCTGTGGCGGGAATGGCATCGAGGACCTTGAGCTTCATAAACGTTCGGATAGCAACCAATTCGGCGATCTGAGATATTTGTGAGCAGCTGCATGCTTTCTGACTATATTCCAGGAAGCTGGAGTGAAATTACGACTTGCATTGAGACCGTGGTAGTTGGGCTTCTGATCTGGCGTGATGAGGGCATTTGTGAGTGTCCTTGCTTTTTCGAGGATCTGGACCCTAGACATGTAACCGTTAAGATCTGGAGCATCGGAATAAGCCTTGGCAGCATCATTGAGGCTGCTGACTAGATCATCGATCTCTTGTTTGTTCGGAAGTGCCATTGTGACGGTCGCTTCTTGCAGATGTTTGTGCTTGATCTGTTGGTTCCAAGGTAGCACTGCAGCCAACAAAGCAAAGACATGAATGAGCTGAGGATAGAGGGGCAACCCTTCACCCTGGTCGGGACCAGTCCGAAAGGAGACTTGGAGGAGATAAGATAGCTGGCTAAGACACTTGGAGTGGAACCATCCAATCCTCGCCATACTCTCACAGGTTTAGCCTAACAAAATACCCGGCTCCCCTAAAAGGCTAGTGGCCGCGTCCCGTGCCAAAAACAGGGGGTTGAAGATGATCCAAGTCTTTTCACATTACGATTGATGATGGCATCTTGGCCATTTCTTATCAGGATCTTACTTATTTCGACAACAAAACCTCTGTGCCTATTCATGCGAGCCATATCGACTCAGACATCACTTCCGTGTCATCATATCTCCGATGCCACCCCCGCTCCAAGATCAACATTCCCCAACCCGAGAGATCGGAGAGGGAGAGGCTAAAGCGGGCCACGTAACATCAGACCAGGCCCGAGACCCAGATCGTGGAGACCAAGAAGAACAGGGGCTAGCAGATAGACCGCCGTCGACATCACCAACACGAGCTTCAAGTCGCATCGAACCCGACATCTTTGACAACGATGACCTCGAGGATGAGCTCTACCCAGAGTCAACAAACACGAGCTATTTAACGTCAATTGCGTCAGATATCCGACGCGGCATCCAAGAAAACGGACGAACTTATGGCGTTTATGGCCTGCACAAAGCTTGGATCCCTAGTGATGATCTCGAGGTAAATGAAATGCGCTATTCGCTTCAGAAAGCCCGGGTACTAATTAGAGTTTACAGGTTGAGCGCAATGATCTCCAGCACTGCAAGTTCACGATGCTCATGGGCAACGAGCTTCACTTGGCCCCTATTGTCGACCATCCGCAAAAGATCCTTGATCTTGGTACTGGATCAGGTATTTGGGCGATCGACATGGCCGAGCAATACCCATCAGCTAAAGTTATTGGCGTCGACACAACTCCGGTTCAGCCTAACGTGATACCGCCCAACTTAGTTTTCGAGGTATGTCAGTCGAGCGCCATGGCCACCCCTTTGATTTTCACTGCAGTGATACAACACATTGAACCATACTGACGTCTCCAGATTGACGATGTTGAAGATGACTGGCTCTGGGGCGAAGGAACTTTCGATCTCATCCATGGCCGAGAGCTCATCATGGCCATTCGCAACTGGCCTCGTCTGATGGAGCAAGCTTTCAACCATCTCAAACCCGGCGCTTACTTCCAGCTCTCGGGTTCAGTTCCCGACTTCAAGTCCGACGACGGCACACTGCCCCATGATTCCGCTTACATCGAGATGGGCAAGATCTACTTCGAGATGTCGCAGCGCATTGGTTGTTCAGGCTGGGAACCGACTCGTTGGAAGGAATACTTTGAAAGTTTCGGCTTCGAAGATGTTGTAGAACGCCTCCTCAAAATACCTACGAATCCTTGGCCCAAGGACAAGCATCTGAAGGAGATTGGGGCGTTTGAGCTTTCGCATTTTCGAGATACCATTGGAAACGTGTTTGCTCGTGGGTATGAGCAAATCCTCAACGGTGATCCGAAGTACTTCCAAGTACTACTGGCCAAGGCTCGAAAGGAGGTACTGAATCCAAACATGCACAGTTGGGTTCCATTGTAAGTGTCCGCTGTTCCCCCGTGTTTTCAGAATGTAGTTAAGAACTAACGACTGTCCGTCAGCTACGTTGTATACGGCCGGAAACCAAGGAGTTCAACTACAGATCAGCCACTACATCAAAAGTCCGTATCTCCCGACACTTAGTTGACTAGCTGGGAGGACTGGGTTCAATTGAGCCAAAGCTGAGCAAGGGGCGGACAAAAGGACTTGCAACAATAGCGCAGCGATATAGTCCATGGCTTAATGAATGATTCCCAGCCTACAAATTCCTATTTCTGAATACTTATCCTGTCTGGCCTGTATGCATGATGCAGTCTTCAAGATCGAGCATCTGAGGCTTTGGTATAGTCTCAAGTTTACTGTCAATCTTAGAACCAAGTAATTTCTATCCAATTTCGCCAAGATGTAAGATCATATATTGTATTATTGACAACAAAACTAAAATTCTGCTCGCGTCTTTGGGCCTGATTGGACTAGTAATGTGCCTAGGAAGGAAATGGGAGATGAGAACGAATAATTTTGTGATAATTTGATAATGAAATTCACGGAAAGGAATAGCCTTCAACTGTTACAATAGGTAGGGTTTTACTACTGCTAGAGCAATATGGACAGCATTTCATCACACAGGGGGAGAGGAGGGGGAGGGGGTTCGGGAGCGTCAAAAATTGGCCAGCCGCACTCAGCTATAGAGATACTTGCCAACCATAAGGTAAGGCTGCAGAAAGATACTTCAGAACACGATGTTCATTCCCGAGATATACACTTCGACCCAACAACTTTCGGTGATGGCCATTGAATCTTATATTGCTATCAAGCCCTTGGGGCTGTGTAGTGCATCACCACACGAGCCTTCTTTTGGCAGGCAAGTGAGTCATCCTTTAGGTCTTCTTCTTATTCATTTATGCTGTAGCAGTTAGTCAAGCATTATGGTATTGTGCCTAAGTTGTGAGGTAGATGTGTTATTTGCAGTTGAGACCTGTGGCTGAGAGCTTATATCACCACACAGAACTTAGAACGTCACCACAGTGGCGCCACATAACTAGGGAATCACTGCAAGGAGAAGGAACAGAAGAGTAGGAGAACGCTTGTTGTAGTTCTCAAGTAAGTTAATCATTGCTTATTCCTCCACGATCGTATTGTAAGAACAGATTCTCTGGGCGAGGACCAGGTGGCTGGATGCTACACAGCTACTCCCAGGTACACCATCAAACAGCGTAGAAGGCTTTGGAAAGAAAGGAATCTAGTATTGAATGAATCAGCAAAATATCCTTTGATGAGAAGGCAACCAAGGAGAGTGTCTTACTTTGGTTGGCACTCAAGTCACGCTCGAGGCAAAGTTCAAAACAGCAGTTACCATCCCGGGTTATATGAACTTAAGAGGCGCCACCCGCAAGCACAAAGCGTTTCGAACTCAGTCATCGCAAAAAGAAACCGAAGGCTGTGGCTCGCGGGATGGTATTTGGTGACAGCGTCGCTCAGGGGGACGTCGGCTGTGATTTCAAAGTCAGCCAAGCTTTGCAGAACAGGTCAAGTTTAGATACTCACTGAAGACTCTCACCACCTGAATTCGAATTGGATCTCGCCATCTTGTCGGCGGACGTTAGCTCCTCGCTGGCGACCTGGGTTGGGTCCCCAGCGGAGGGTGATACCGTAGCGTAGGGCGATGAAAATGAGGAGGAACATGGAAACCTCGCCGAACCACTCGGCTGGGGGCATGCTATGAGTATAAGCGCTCCAGAACATGTCGAAGCGATTTTGAAATTTATTTGGAAAGTAAATATCGTGTCGTGTTGGAGTGTCTGGGGTGCGGCGATAAGTACCAGTGTTAGTTGCTGAGTGGAAATTTGTGGGCAGCCCTAACAGGTGGTACTAAGTTTTTGGTAGCCCACTTTGGTCATGTAGCTGTGTATCCCGTACCTGAGCTGAGCTGGGCTGCATCACTTCTATTGAGTCACTCCGCTCTCGTCTCATCTCTTCTCCCTCTCTCTCCAACTCATCATCACAACAATCACCCAAAACAACATCTTTCGGGTGGTGATAAACAAACATTTCCTTTTTATTATATACGCAAACATCATCCTCCTCTCTTCTTTCCGACTCGTATAAATCACTGATAACAAAGAAGAATATCCTGCTTCTTCGGGCTCTTTGCCCCTTGCGCTCACCCAGCACGCGTCGAGGTGATTCTCTGCAAACTTACCCTTGTTTTTCTCTTCACCTCTTCATCTTTAAACATCGCAAACTCCCTTTGTAATCCTCCTTTGCTCTCACATTCCAAACATTTACTCCCCTGCCCTTCTTGTTTCTCTATCACAAAACTACACTCCGCTGCACTACAGCAATCATGGGAGGCAAGGCCTTCGCTCACGCGGATCCTCCTCTGGAGACACCTCGGATGCCTCACGAGGCATATCTCGAGGCCAAAAACACGGTCATTCGACGGCTAAGTGAGAAATTTCACTGGATTAATGTTCCGATGGAAGGTCCCGGAAAGAAAGACCATGGTGACGTCGATGTCCTCGTCTGCGACATGAACGGAATCGATATCTTCAAGGAGAGTGTCCTTGATGCCATCTATGATGCCCTCGGCGCTGAATCCAGAATCATTGAAGGTGGTTCTAGTCACTTCGCTGCTCACTTCGCTATCCCATGGCCTGAGCATATCCCTATTCCCCAGGCACAGGGAAAGGCAACTCTTCTTCCGCCGATTGTGTCCATCACTCCTCCGTCTCCTCCGGGCCCGTCTGCTCGTTCTTCTCTTACCATCACTCCTGGAAACCTGTTTAAGCCTTCTGGCGCTACTCCTACAGTTCCTGCCCCCAGCACTACCACTGACAAACCTCCCCTGGACTCAACTTTACCTTCTCCCTTCGGTCCACACCCTAACCCCCTCGGTTCAAACCCTGCTCTCTACATCAAGGAAGCCTCTGGTCCTGCTGAGGAGGACTCAAAATCAAAGGAACAAACCGTAAGTCGATGCCCACTTGTCTGTCCAGGAGTTAAGCTTATACTGGACTTTAGGTCGCTACAGTTGCTGATTCACAGACCAAGCCCTCATCCAACGATTCTGATGGCGTTAGCATCACCTCTTCAGAGCGTAGTCAAACATCTGCTGCAACGGCTCCTGTGACTGGCAAATGGGGAACCATTTCTTATATCAAGAGAAAAATGAAAACCGGCGGCTCGTCTTCTCGTAAGTAGCTTTTCCTTCCCGAACATCCTGTTCTTACTGGTCAGACCGCTAATATGAATAGGTTCCTTCTCATTGTATACAATGTTCAAGCGTGGCAAGTCAGGCCGAGATTCTGCTGCATCAAACTCTACCCGCGGAACTCTTGAAAAGGTATTATCATGCAAAGACTTAACCATGTTCACTATTCTCTGACGATAAACTCAGATCAATAGTTCCTTTTCAGAACCTGGTGCTACCCTTCCAGCTGTCACTGGAACTGGACCTTTCAAAATCAAGAGAAAGACCGTCCCAAAGTCGATTCTGACTGATAACCCTTTCATTCCCCTCCCTGCGGGCCCTGTCCACGATAACCCATTCCGAGATCCTCCCCGCGTCTTCATTCAGGTTGACGTCCGCTACTGTCTTTCCAAGAAGCAAGCTAAGTACTTGCGCTTCTTCCAGTCACACGGCGACTTGTGGCAAATCCTGGGATCCATCATTCGTCCCTATGGTCTTACCGTGGACGACAAAGGTCTTCACATCCGGGTGCCAGAAGGAGAACTGATCAACCGTAAGAAAGCTAAGGTCCTACTTACAAGCAAGCCCGATGACATCCTGATGTTCCTTGGACTTCCTGTTGCTGAATACTGGCGTCCCTTTACCACCACCGAGGCTATGTTTGAATACATCATCAAATGTCCCATGTTCTCTTTGCCTCGCTACAGCACCTTCGAGGAAGAGATGGGTCTCGGCACTGCTAATGATCGTCGCCGCATGGCTTCGCGTCCTGTCTATCGAGAATGGACGCAGGAGTTCAAGCCTCGCCTCCGAGAGAAAGGTCTGTATTTCGAGAACTCTTTGACCCGTGATGAAATCAGGGAGAAGGCTTTCAATACTTTCCCGATAGAATCTGAGTACCACACCCGAGTCCAAGGATTCATCCGGGACCAACAAAGACAGGCGCTCCGGAAGTACATCAAGTCGCAGGTCCCCGGAGCGGAGGACAACCACCCCGAGGCTGTTAAAAGACGATCCAAGACAATTAAGGCCATGTCCGCCATCGTCCTTGACGGCATCGATGCTTCCGAGTTCGGAATCTCCGCTCCGTCTTACCTTCTCCGGGGAAACGGGACTTGGGACATGCAACGCACCGAGGATTGGATCCGTACCAAGGTGCACTTCGTCGGCCGCTACGCCAACATGAGCGCGGCAGAAAAGGAGAAGTTGAGATCAGGACCAGCCAAGAGGAGGGAAGAGCGCGGCTAGGGTCGTCGCCGCCAAACTCTCAACGATGTCCCCGAGACCCAGTCCGAGGAGCCTGAGCCACTCCCGGACCAGCTCCCCCTGAGACTGGCTCAACTCAACCTCGGCAACAGCAAGTAGACTGGCTTGCCAACCCTTCTCCAACCCTCAAGACCATCGGGTCTTGAGGCTAACCACAAAAGTTTTGTCCAAGTTTGCAAAGTTATGTTCAGCTTATTCAGATCGATATTTTCATGAAACTAACTGTTCACCATAGTCCATCATATTTCGCAATTTTCAACGGTAGTCGATCGACTACATACGCGGCGCACGTAACCTATTTTTTTCTTGGAGCAGTCGGGGCCAGACTGCTATTTCTTTTCCGGGTGGGAGGGCGGCCCATATAGGCGGAAAAGTGTATATACCATTTGCTTACAATCGGAGTTTGTTTTTGGTACCATTATCAGTGAACCCAAAACCTGTCTCCTGGTGATCTGTGTAATCTGTAAAGCTGTGATTCTATGATGTCCTTCATACTGTCGGTGTCTTTGTACGCCTGATTGCTATTCTGCATGAAATGCGTATCACCAAATTGTGTGACAGCAGGATAGTTTGATATCTGTCACTTTGTTGGCAGCCTGGGCTCACAGGGGCCATGGGCTTTGTTTTCAGTAAGATACAGTGGGTGCCTGAGCAGTGATATTGTCTTTGTACCTGTGAGGTGCAGAGCCCAGATAATGCATATGACCTCATCACGCTTCACCCAGCTGGAACACTCCCCATTATCTCTCCAACACCAGCAGTTGATGCCTCTGAAAGTGGTCCAATAGAGTCACTGGGCTACAAGGTACTGTTCATTCTGTTTCCAAAATATATCCCATTCTTTTGCTGTGATATTACGCGAGGGTTGGGACCCCTTTTCCCACAGATGCAGCATCGAAAATCTAACGCCGAAGCGCGAGCTGGACGGGTAAACCTCTCCCGATTTCCTTTAAGCAAGTCGTCCCCCAACCCGATTTTCTTCCCTCCCACTCCTCCCTTCTCTTCTCTTTCACTTCATCTTCACCTCACCTCTTTGGGTACACGACATTTCCCTGGCAATCTCTACTGGCGTTTACTTCTTAGCCGACGGGATATTTATTTGAATTCTCCTCTGCATTGTTGGGCTGCACCGACCTTCTATCCCCATGGTCGGTCCCCTTTCAAATTCCATCCAGCCTCAGTCCTCTCTTGCCCTGTTTTCTTGACACTTGAAATCTACAAACAATCAACGTGCCGAAAGGCCTCTTTTGTGGAATCTACATGAAGGGCCTTCGCCTGGGTAAGTCCTTGCCACTTTTCCTCTGCTTCCTTGTTCCGTCTGCGGGCCTCGTCTTCTCCGGTACAGGAAACACCTCGTTAACTATCTCGTGCTCTTCGTACCTTAGCCTCGATATTGGCCACTTCCACGTTCAAGCTACGATGAGATCTTCTACTTCGTGAAACATCACCCTCACATTCAATTCTCCCCCAAAGGCATGTTTACTTGCTTGGGATCCTTCATCTCCTCATGGCTAGTATGAGCATTTCGTGTTCTTACTTTTCACTATCGTTCTCAACTTTTCTTCCTCTCGAGAGCAAACGTCACGAAGCCTCACCCGCGCCTCAGTTCCTTTGTCTTTCATTTATGCACCTGGGCTACCAAGGTACCTTGAACCCCGCTGGAGTGGAGGATGCCAGTTTCATGCTTTTTCAATCTTGGCACACCTTGAAACCCATCCCCCTTCCTTGCAAAAATCCGGCTACTTAAGCGTTGACGGCGTTGCAAGACCTGATTATTAACCTCTTGGCAAAGTCTGCTTTCCTTACTTATGCCTCCTGATCTTGTTTCCAATCTTTCACTCGCCAAGCTAACCTTCTTTGATTTCCAGATATCCCGCGCTCTTCTGGATCCTGAGCTCCGAATCCCAAGACAAAATGCCCCGTCGTTGGTTTTCCGATCGGTTCCATCATGCCTGGGGACGCGTGGCCGGTCGCCATGGCCGGCAAAGGGACCAAGGAAGTCAAAGCCCTCAACACTATGCGGAAATTGTGGCTGCTCCCGATCAGAGCCCGGATCGGGCCAACCACCTCCGTCGAGGCGCCTCTCTTCCAGATCTCCTGACCCGTGCCACCCTAGGTGTTATTGCCCAGCCGCTTCCTCTTGATAGTGAAAGCCTTTGGGATACTCCGACACCTGCCCCTTCTCCTGTTCAGTCCCAGTCAAATGGCGCTATTGGTCTCGGTACTTTCCTCGGGGAATTGGAAAGAGAAGCATCCCGTGAAGACCAGCATTTTGCCCCAACAGCTATTATTACGACTCGCGACACTGGATCCATCGGTACAGGAATTGAGGATCAGCCCTGGATGCTTCCTGGCCAAGTAAGTCTCACTACAAGCCTGACCTTGACAATGGATGCCCCCTTTGATCGTCAAACCTGTGGCAACACAAACATTTGTCAGTAATATGAGCTGACTATGGAAATAGGATTTCTTCCCTGAAAGTCAGCCGCCGGTTCCTAGCCATCTGAGAACCGGACTATTTTTGAGGTATGTCCGACATCCGCTTCTTCCTTCATACCACGCTAATTGTGACTTTCTACAGCTCTCAGCCGAAACATCGCACGCTTGAGCCATGCGACTGCTGCAGCCCAAAGACCTTGGCCGGAGACTGGCGAGCCTTGACTCTCGACCCTCTCACGCATACCTTTACTCGTCACGAATCTTTGGCATCGTGCTCTGAGCTTCGCGGCCGAGACCATTCCAAGTCTGAAGACAAAGCCTTTGCGGTCCCTATCAGTGTTATTACTAGTCAGCCAGGCTAGGGGCACCTGCTGCAAACATACATTGCCGAAGTTCACAGCGATGTCTTTGCCCTTCTACTTGAGGTTCTCGTCTCTCCGAGCGGACTGATTGGCCAAGAAGACGGGCTTAATCTCCCGCTGTTGCTTGCCACGTTGTCATATGCTCTAGACCAAGGCATGACCCGAGAGACTAAAAAGCTCAAGAGAACTATTGATCGATACATCCCCCTCCGCATGTTCCACCACAATCCTCATAACAACTCACCTCGTCTGGAGTTTGAGTATTACGAGTTCCGTTCCGAGGAAGTCTACCGGGCCTGGCTAGTAGTCTCTAAAGATGGGAGACTCCATGACTACCTCTCTCCCAGTGAGGCGGTAACTCTTTACATCTACTTAGTGCCTAATTGGTGGTGGTCTAACTGGATTCACGACTACGACGAAAAGTTCATAGAAGACACAAACATTGCCTGGGCCTATACCGAGGGCGTCCCTGGGAGTCGGTTTGAGCAAGTCTTTCAAAGTTTCTTCAGCCGCACACGACTTGGATTGCATTCTTGGACAGGAAGCGCTGCCCTTAGTGGTGGAGACCAAAGCTCTGTGACTAAGACCGGGTCTCAGGAAGAAGCTTTACAAGGATCCGGCAACCAACCAGACGGCGCTCTCACCCTCTATGGCGTCCCGTTCCAGGGAACTCGGAAGGCACCGCATCAAAAGTACCCTCCAGTAAGCGGAGGTGATTTGGAAGAAACCCTAAGGGGATTTCAGGGGGGCCCACGCCAGTGGGCTCTCGATGCACTTTTCAGTGGTGCGCCTGGGGCTTCGGATAACAACCCAACGCCCGGGACCCAAGGTGCGCCCTTCACGGGTGCTCTTGGTGACACGCATGAGAGCCCATGCCAGGCTCTTGATGCACTTTTCAGTGGTTCTCCCCGGGGTTCGAATAACAGCCGAAAGCCCGGGACTCAAGATGTACCTACTACAGGTGCTCTTGAGGCGGTGCAGGTGAGCCAGCACTGGGCTCTCGATGCACTTTTCACTGGCAGTGCTAGGGAGATTCTGGATGAGTCGGTTCAAGATGGATTTCGCACTGGTGTGCCTGAGGGTTCGGATTACGATCAAATGCGTGGAGATCAAGATGTACCTCGTATTGTGCCTCCTGTGGCTGTATCTGACATATCTGCTAGTTCAGAGCGAGACATTCGTCGAATTCGCAGAGAGACAGCTGTGTTACCTCAGGTTGATTGATGGTTATAGCTTATATGATATGTCTCAGCGAGATATATCAAGCCAACAAATTAAACACATTTCAAATAAAAGCAAACTTTCAAGGACATGTTGATCCAGTTTCGCATCCGTTGCCTATCCCACGTCCTTAGTATCCGAGTTGTATCGTTGGGCTTTTTCCATATTTCCCTGTTCAAGTTCTCGATCATCTCATTCCCAGAACGGCTCGGACTCACCACATCGGTAAGAATCACGAGACCATATCAGCAGTGTTCTGGAACACCAACAACAATCTTGGAGGTCGGAAGCGAGCATGGCCAGAACCACCTCGAAGTACCACTTCTTGTGTTGTGGGACGCAGGATCTTGATGTAAATTCTGTCTTCCTTCTTCCATTGTAACTCGCGCTTGGAAGTTCACATCAGTCCCAAACACGTTACAAGGGCAAGGCACCGTTCGCTTTGACTTTTGATCTCGAACGGCTCGAGGAGCTGGTCAATATCCTTGTTGACTAAATTTCATAATGCAAGACACAGGAGGAATATGGAATCAACTTTCTCTTGTGTCTTTTAGTGTCTGTCGAGTCTTCTCATCCATGACTGTACGTGCAGAGCTGATGTATCGTGGGATTCTATACAAGCTTTATTTATCTTTGCTACTGATTAAGTTCAGACACAGTACTATCTACCAACCATATAATTCTTCTAGAACGCCACCTGCACCACAGATCATTCTATAATCGGGCATACCGCGCCATTTCGAAGACTCGTGGTGTTCGTTTATTATGCTTTGCGCTGTCTTATCATCAGCTCCATACGCCTTCGTCACGACAAGCCAGCATATTACAAGATCTTGTGATTATTGGTCATGAATCTTGTATCCAAGACAAGGCTTCGCCTCCCAGTACTTTTTCGTCGTAGGAGCAACTGGTGCAGGCTCTGGTGCCGAACGCTCCTCGACACTGTCTTTCCAAGCTGGCTTCAAACCATAAGACGGCTTGAGAAGATGTGATGGGGGCAATCCCTCATCTGCAATGTCAGCGCCGTCATAAGTCGGGCCGTTGATGTAGTTCCAAGGACGGAACACACACCAAGCCATTGTCAAACACAATGGCTCGATGATGGATGCTAGTTGCGCCAGAATATCTCGGTCTTGAGATAGCTCAATCGTGCGCCCATATAATCTCAAGATGGTCTCGATCGTCAGGGACAAGTGAGGAGTGTTTGTAAGTTGTAGGTTGAAAAGATCTTGTACTCAAGGAAGCAGTTCAGAGTGTCGAAGTCTGCAAGAAAGTGGAATAATCGTCACTCTACATTGGTTTTCTATAGAGCGGCTGAAGACACGCGGGTGAGAGAAGGGTTCAGTCGGAAAGCGGTGCAAAGCGGGCGTGAATGTTGTTAATTACCTGTAGCTGATCATAAGGTCGGCTTCGAGGGCCTATCCCGTCTCGGCTGTAGGTTACAGAGTCTGTAGTTGCTGACTTCATGTTAGCCTCTAAGCTGTAACTTGTGGGTTGCATGTTCGAGGGGGCAGCTCGTCGTTCTCACTGCGACAGACCATGCTGGCAGACCTCTTAGATCATAGGGACAAACTCTCTGACCTCGAAAGAAATAGTTGCTGGTATTTACGTAAAGACACAACTGATCCGTGCGGTTCCTGATTCTGGTATTCCTGATGGGCTTCGGACCGGAAGGCGACCTATCGTGATGGAGGCTCAAAGGTCGGGTATCTTGCCCTGCCAGTCCCAGAACTTCTTTTTGATCTGTACATTAGTTGCAAACGAAAACTTTGATGAGGGAGGCCAGAATGGTAGAGATCCCAGTCTCTGACTAATGGCTACTCGCCTCTTTTGGCTTCGTCCGTTTTGGTCGAGATGGCTCATGTAGTGGGATTCTCGAAAGCGTGCTTGCTACTCAAGCATCTTCAGAGTGCACCAGTCTCCTGCAGGACTTCGTATTACTCTTCTCTTTATTGTAATTGTTGTTGGGTTTGGACGACAGCCAGGGTCATCATTTACAGGTCATGGACCATCCAGATCGGCCCGAGGCGGCCTGGGCTTCTGGGTGCTTGTGGATTGGAATATTCTCAAGGACGTCGACGTCAGGGGGCTGTTCGTTTCTATGCAAGTCAGCAGAGGATCTGTGAACTCATGGGTTTGCACAGCTCGTATGGAAAGGAGGTCGAGAGCAGATAGAATGGCTCAATAAACCCTTCCTATTGATATACATGCTTAGAGGGATCTGTGTCGTGACATCAAGTGGCTCACAACAGTCAGCACGCGTACCTTTCGTATGCTGAGTGATGTTGTGGCCTGACTGTGCCAAAATTCTATGACCAGGAAGATAAGTCAAAGGAAGCAAGTGTCACTTGCTAGCGTGAGATCGTCGGGCTTGAGGGGGTCGGATACCCAGACAGTTCAGACTACCAAGGGAACGCTGTGATCATCATTGCTCCATGTTTTCTTGACTGAAGGATAATTCTTGGTGTTGCAAGTGTAGAAAGAAGGGGTTTTGACGATACATGGATAAAGGAATGTGCGGGCTGTTAACATTTGATCCCGATTGCAAGCGTCCCGAATTTCGGAATTTACATGTCACTAATTACTCGATCGATTGATTGATTGAACATCCTTTGTGTCACAATTAACTGATGCGTTCAGTTCTTCCAAATTGATGAGGCTCAATGGTCAAGTTTTGCTGGATGAGTGCTTCATGAATATAGGGCTTACGAGCTCCCCTCCTACCACAACCCACTACAACAGGTTCAACCTGTTATCTTCCGTAGTATAGTGGTCAGTATGCAAGCTTGTCACGCTTGAGACCCGGGTTCAATTCCCGGCGGGAGAGATCCAGCCACCTGTGATACACAGGCGATCCTTTTTGCGTTTTTCGTGTACAATTGCCACATTAGAGACATTCAATCCGGCCGATTGCTCACGGTATTCACTTTTTGTTTGCAGCTGTTTGTGCTTGTTGGTTAAACTTGGAACAGTGACAACAGGTCTTGGCGTGCGTCGCTGGGGTGTGCTTCCAGGGTCTAGCTGCGCTAATTACAGTTAGCAGATCGCAATGATCGACATTCATGCATTGGAAGTTTGCAGGACAAAGTCCCCTGATTCATGATTTGCTATTCGTTTTGTTTGTCATGAGCTGCAATAGCTATGAAGGCGGTCAATTGAATACATTACGGACTATTGTTCCTTGACAAATGGAGGAAGAAAGTGTCGGAGTGCGACCGGTGACTGGCTAAAGAGTAGACCGATGGTTGTTCCCCTTGGAGACATCACATACAATGACAATTGACGAATATTGAAAGAAGCAAATAAGTATTGAGTATGTACTCTATCCAGGTTCTATGACCCAACCAAAACGCTATTATGATGAATAACTTGTCATCCTCTAAACCCAATGACCTCAACCAAGAGATTATGCAAAAATATGTGCTAGAAACATTCCATCATGAGCCAGAATTTACTCGTCGGGCTGGACCTGAGAGTACAAGCAGCCAACAGGCTTCTTAACCTTGGCGGCCTTGACAGAGAAGGGAAGGCAGTTCTTGTTACCGCCGGGGTTGTCGATGCTGTTGTAGACCCAGACAGACCAAGAGGTCTTCTCGAGGTTGTCTCCGTTGGGGCAGGCAACGAAGCTGGAACCGTCGAAGGTGAGCATGCCGTCCTTGTCGATCTTCCAGCCCTTGCGCTGGCCGTTACGGGGCATGGGCTGAGCGCCAGTGGTGTAGCCGAACTTGCCCTGGCCCATGCCGGAAAGGTCGACGTAGGCCTGCTGGCCAGGGTTGCCGACGGAGTAGAGCCAGAGCTCGTCGTTGTAGAGGTGGAAGGTGACGTCGTTGTGGTGCTTGCCGTCGTCACAGCTGGCCTCCTGCTTCTTGAGCTTCAGCTCGAAGGACTCCTTGTTGGCCTGGATGTAGTTGAAGTGGATGGGGCTGGCGGAGCGGAGGGCGAGACCTTGGAAGAAGGTGGACTTGGGATTGCTGCTGGCCTTGGGGGCAGCAGAGACGACGCCAGCGGCGACGAGGGGAGTGATGAGAAGAGCCTTGATCTGCATGTTCGCGGTTGTTGTTGTTGGTGGTGGTGGTGGTGGTGGTTTAGAGTGGTTGAGCGTTGATTGGGTTGAGGTTGAGAGTGTGAGTGATGAGTGAGTGAGCTAATGTCGAAAAGAAGATAACGTCGATAGTCTTATATACACATTCTCTCCCCTTGTTCATCTTCATCTCGCATCGTCATATCTGAGAGATCGTCTTCGGCAGTTGCCTCAATAACGGGCTCTAAGCCCCAGCCCCAGTCCGAAGGTCCGCGGTGAGGACGGCATGTCGCCCGCCTCGCGGAAGAATAAAGAATACGAGGTGTCTCCACAGTCCACTGTATCTCAACAATTATCTCCCTGAAATAAACCCACTATACCCCATAATGCATTGAGAGCTCAGGCGGTCGAGCCGAACAACCTAGGTCCAGGCCCCAGAAGCGTTGCTAGACATGGCTAAAATCGTAAGGGTCAGACCAGCCAACGCCAACGCTAGGGATAACGGCAGCCCAAAGCCACCCGTGACCAGAGCCCAACCCCAGCTATTGGGCTCTCTAAAATTAGCAACGTCCAGCCTTTTCTAGAACCTATCGTTCGATGCCGATGCACTCAATCTCGCCCTAGCTAATGCGTGGACCCTCCGTGCTTGGCTACAGACGTCATAGTCTCGATTCCTAGGGGCCCAGGCTAAGCTAAACTGACCTTCTACGATGGCATTGGCATTAAACTTGTCCCTGGGCCATTGCCACAAATGGAGCTCCTCGTAAATGCGAGCTTCTTCATGCAGAGACACGTCGGCCAAGAACGGTATTTCAGGTGAAATACTACATCTGCTGATTGATGCCGAGTTCCGCTATTCTGTTGATGTTGATAAAATTCGGAAAAGTTTCTTCATTAGGGGGCGGAAGTCTACCCGGAAATAATGGCCTATGCTAAGGCTCTAGGTTAGGAGCAGGAATATTCCGTCATGATCAGTCACTCCAAGTGTGCCGAGATCAAGCCCCATAGAATAGATTCTCAACATGGAATGTTCCTTGCAGAAATGTATCTATTTGTGGCTGAGCATGAATAGGAGAATGGCAGTTTCTCCACTACAGTGACGGTTAATAACATCTAAGGTTCAGAATGCCATATATCGTGAAAATACAAGGACGTTGGCAGTGGGCCATGGTCAGTTTCAGCTATAGTGCCCAGATTAAGAAGTCCGATCCTTGAACTTTGCTCTTGACGTGGTATTCCAAGCACCTGATCTGCAAAATCTAACGAGATTGGACGGAATAATACGAGTTCCAGCGCCGATCAGCCCGTATTCAACGACAACAGTTAACATGACGTTGTCACCATCTGATATCATTGATTGAGTCCCTTTTGTGTGAAGTGACAATCAAGTTTTTAACGTTGCAGTATTTCAATGACAGACGCTCATCCTTCAGTTCGAATAGAACGATGCTGCTAAAATTGGTGCTAGCTAGTGTTGATCCGGCAACAAGTGCCGTGGCTGGTGGATATAGTTACAATTCTGCTCGCTATGCTGAAGCGTAATCAACATAATCAAACCCAACTATGCTTTGTTCGAGAATAGCTCGCACAACGTTCAGAGCTCACTGCCTCACTTCAACTATCGTCGAGCAATCCCAAGCTCAAGGCACAGCCTTGGCCGCAACAACATAGCCGTACATAATTAGATTCTATTACAATTTTATACCAACCCTGCCCACAGCATACAGAACTATCAAAGTCACATCCAGAGACGACATTGGGAGGCTATACCCTCTCCTTCTCTCATATAGTGTCGATTCAGCAAAGGCAGGCTCGTTTGCATGAGATCATCATCGACACAAACTCTTGGCCGGATTTTTGTTCTTGCTTTCACGGTGAGGATGATCTACGCTCAGGCGGTGGCAAAGACTTACACCCAAAGCGCGCCAATCGTGGGGCAGGCCACGATGCACACGATTTGCTCAAAAGGCACGTTACATCTCTTGGCATCGGAGATCAATTATCACAGTCGATCATTGAGGCTTTGGAATGGAAGAAGGTGCATTAGTTGGGGTAGGTTCCGGACAATGCAAGGGACTTTGATAACAACGAGCGTCGTTTTGCCGCTGCTGCACTCGTCATCATTTTATCTTTTTGTGAAAAGCTCTCTACTATCCGTATAGCTGATTTCCCTGCTCTCATCAAAGAATATTTGCTAAAAAAAAAACCATGATCAAGTCGATCACCCTGGGTTGCAACAGCTGAAACCCGTTGAGGTCGTCAGACAAAC